CGTTGTGAAGCTGTGACCGTGGCCTACGCCTACAGTGCTGTGACCATGGCCTACGCCTACAGTACTGTGACTGCGACTTGTTGCCGCTGCATCCTCTGTCGCTGCTGCGTCTCCGGGGGATCCGCTCACAGGTCCTGAGTGAGCTAACGTGGCAGCGGCGGCAGACCTAAACATAGGAACTGGCGGCGAGGGAATCTGGAAACCCTTTATGAGGCGGGGTTGCTTAACCTGAATCAAACCTTCTGTTATGTTTATGCACAACAGCCCTGAGTCATGTGTTCGACACAACTTGATCTTGATGACTGTGTCCTCCGAAGGAAGCCGAACACCACACACGCCAAATCGTAGATCCTTGGTTATACCAAGCTGGGCCTGCGCATAAAGGGACAAGAGAAGAGGGGCGGTACCCTTAATCTCATGCGAATCAAGGACGCCTGGAACTCTCAAGTCCTGCTCCAATCCCATTATAGAGAAAGGTATGGTCCTGCTACCCAAAGTCTCGGTAGCGCCGCTAAGACCCTTGAAGGTACGATTCCCTTCAGGCTTAAACCTTGTGCTGTAACCGAAGTTCGCAAGTTTTCCTGCCGCGTTTGCTATCCAATCGCTACCGTGAACAGTCGAGTTACATCCCTCATCTAGCACGGCGTATACATGCTCGTCCTCGTAGATGTTTACTACGGGCAAATCAACCAAAGCCGGATGGATATCTGTGACCCCCTCGGTAAAAGCCACGAAACCCTGCCTTGTAGCAGAGGCCCTCGAAGAGCGCGATCTCACCGACGCCACTTCCCAACTGTTGTTGGTGGACGGCGCTGCGTGATCATCTAAGGCCTCTTGCAGGTATGCGAGAAGATCACCGCGGGATATCACGGGCTCGGTTACGACGTGGCCTTCTACGGTCTCTTGAAACTGGGCAATAGGAACTACTACCTCTACGGGAAGGCTATCTCCCGTGCTGCCGACTATGCTGCGCAGGAGATCGAAGTCCAGAGTGTTGGACTCCCGCAGCACTGTGGCTGCGTCCTCCCTAGCCTTTCGCTCGGTCTGCGGCTGCTCGTCTAGAAGCATCCCACAAAGTTTACACTTAATGCGGGAAGTCTTCCTGCTACTACCCGACCTCTCTGTGGAGGTGTGTGGGCATGTGGCCTGGTCTATGACAGGCTTCTCTTTCTTCGTCTTAGTAACTGTGCCGCATTTCTTACAAGTCCGCATGTCTATGTATGCGTTGCTTCCCGACTTATTGAACTCCTTGCATCCTCCCCGGCATTTCCGGGGGCCTTCGCTGGACGAAGCAGCTGAGGCGGCGAGGCGAACCTCGGGCTGAAAGGGTTCAGGCGGGGGCTCCTGGCTGAGGGGAACATCCCTTCTCGTAATACTGATGGGGGTGTCATCTCGCACATCAAAGTACTCTGTGATCCAATTCAGGAAGTCAGCCAACCCTATGGACGGGCACTTCTGTGTGCGCCCCCAAAGGATATACCCGGGGTATGTGTAGAGTACACGCTCATACGTCAACCCCTTGTGCTGGCCGAAAGAGAAAACGCGATCAGAACCCGGAGGGGGGCTATCACGCATGATCCCTGCGGCGGCTGTGCGCCGAAGCTGTGGTGAGAAAAGGGTTTCGCTGCCTCGGCCTTTACCGGTATTGGTCTTTGAGGGGGTTAGCTCAAGGTTGGCTGGGTAACCCTCAAGCCTACCAGCGCTCGCATTCGACAGATGGACACACTCTGTGTCATCCTCCTCCACTGCGGCGAAATACCCCTGAGGCTTCGGCGCCGCCGACTTTGCGGCTGCACTGGCAGTTCCTCCAGACTGTGCTGGAGTTGCAGTACCCTTGGGACCATTGCCCTTACCGCTAAACTTGCAGGCAGCATCTCCGGCCCAATGGCCAATCACAGCGCACTTCAAGCACCTACTCTTGGCCTTAAGCTCTGCAAGCTTAGCCTTGCGGTCAGCAATAGTCAGGTTACTACGCACGACCTTCCCGCCGGATTTCCCGGTGGGCTTGCCCTTGTTCTTCCCCTTTCCTTTTCCTTTTGCCTGGGCAAAAGCGGTCTGTGCCGCGTATGCAAGCTGAACTGACTCGGCGTAGGAATCGCCCAAGTCGTCAACCTCAGCTTCGTATGCCACCGCCGTATAGGCATTGAGTTGCAATGCTAGATCCTCATCATCGATCCATTCATCCGCGTCGCCTCCCCCAGACGCTGTGGCCTGGTACGCTTCATCACCGTAGCCGTCACCGTAGCCTTCCACGGATTCATGCTGTTCCTGGTGATCATACTCTACGGCACTGCCATCATATCCCATGTAACCGAACTTAGGATATTGGGGCTTAGCGTCAAAACGTCTCCAGGTCCTACCTGGGCCACTAGGGTCCTTCTGGGTCAGAAGACGTTCTTTCATGTGCACCACTGAGTGGTGTTGAACAAGGACGCGTGCATACTCATCCACACTGTGCATGCGGGCAGCGGTCTTGACCATTAGCTGTTCGGACCTATCCAATCCCGAAAGCTCAACAAGGAGGTTAGCTCTCATTGTCTCGGAAAGACGGATGTCAGGGTCCAGCTCTCGCAAGGTCGACCACCACCTCTTTCGGCGGGCTATGTAGGACAACATAGGCTCGCCAGGCTGCTTTGCAAGTGGGCCCGTCAGGAGCTGTCCCTGACGGAAAAGTTCGGACGCCTCTTCGGATTGAAGAGGGAAGGCTTGTCTCCTGATTTCCTCTATCAGGTAGTCAATGCCGTCATGTCGAAGCAAACGTTCCAAACCGACGTCGCGTGCAATGCAGAAGGCATCCCCTCGGAGACCTTCCAAAATCTTGCTGACGCACTCGCTCATGTCGAGCGACTCGTCCTTGACGTCCTGCAACGTGTACACCGCCGGATCTGTGTCCGGCTCTTGCTCATCGTCGCCCGTCACCTGACTGGGGTGTGACGGTAACGACTCCGCATCCTCATCTGCTGCCTCGGACACGGGCTTAGTCCGCCTTGCGCTGGACGGACTAGCGGGTATGCCGCTGCTCGCATCACCCTCGGTGGGGTGTGCACTGGTCCCTTGACTGGCTCTGCCGCGCCACTTTCTTGGTGACTCGCTTTTGGACTTTGCCGACTCAGCAAAACGCAAGTCCTTCAAAGCTTCACGCCGCTGCTTCTCCTTATGCTGCAGCACACGGATCTGTGTCCGGAAGCACCAATCGTGGAACCCAGCAGCTGACCCGTCGTATATGTACGAGCCGCTTTTGGTTTCGGCAGGGCTCAGGTTCTGTGACCAGAGATTGGGCTGGTAGCGCAAACCTGCCACGCTCATGGCTTCACCTAAGACAGTAGGGGCCTTTTGCTCCACAACTATCTATCAACTACTCTACGGTCCCCGGACCACCGGCTCTCGGGGGTGATACACTAGTGGTTGTCCTCTCAGCTCCGCTACCAGTTTGAAGCAGGAACTGGGTTCGAGAGTGTCCAACCACAAAACAAAGCCTGTTTTGCGTTCGAGCCCAAGACGTCTTCACATAGGAAGCGTTCAAGCTAAACATGAAAAACTACGCTCGCATGAGGACATGTCAACACGGCACTGCAAGACAGGGAAATTTCACAAAGCCGATCGTGTTGAGGCAAGAAAAGCAGCATCGCGGCTGACGTGCAAATTGGACCCAGCTCTCCAGCACCAGGGCTCGGTTCGTTAAGAAGGGACGGCCCTCCTTTGGTGATGCTCTAAAAGACTTCCTTTTTTGGGGATGCTAGTCGCGTCGATTCGCGGCTCGTCGCTGCGGTCTTTCGCGCTGCCGCAGATTTGAATCGCGCCCTCGTTGTCGGCTATTTCACTTAGGAAGACTCAGTATAACGCCCTTTCCAAACATGTCGGTGCTATGCCGTTGCCCATCGGCACCGTCATTGCCTCCAATGCGTCGGATCCGTGGCTTGTGGCGGCGTCTCCAACACGTGTGTGTCCGCCCGGGCTTTGCCAAGAATCGCTCACCAGAAAGCCACTTGTTGCGACTGTGATTTGCGGCCGGCGCACCGATGCAGACCATGCGTTGCCGGCGCTGTGCCGTGTGTAGCCTGCATGCAGATAAAATCCTTGCGGCTGAAAAAGGTCGCACTCCTTAAGGCTGTCTCTGTTCGGTCAGGTCCAGTACACAGGTTTCCGCCCTCCCTGGCGAGCCGACTCCGCCGCCCTGTTGCTGCTGGGGCGCTGGAAACGCCTGCGCCGCGCAGGTGCCCAGCGTGAGATTGACGCCGGCCGTGAGGTCCCCCCTCACTTGTTGCCAGGCCCTTCGCTGGACCCAACTGCTGGGGGGTGAGCCTTCGCCTAATCAAGGTCATGCCATTCGCATGGCTAGAGCGTAGGCTCTCAGCGTGCAAAGTTTCACTGATACCCAAAGCTGTACAAGCACATGGCATCAATTGCTCAACTCGGTTACACCAGTTGAAGATTGCAAAAACGAACTTGTCGGCCGAAGCGGCTGATAGTTTGGTTCTTGAAGCTGCTACAGCATAAAGTCAATGAAGGATTCAGCCAAGAATACCATGGTTCAGGGAATCTGTTCCTCCTTTGCTCGCTGTCTGCTCTCTCTGCTCTTTCTGTTGGGTTGTCGTGTTTGCTTCACATGCTGTACAAGTCCATCGATTAATGCCTTGGGCACTGGCACCGCGTGTCTTCCTAGACCAAGCATAAACCTGGTTAAAGTCACATGAGCTGCAGATCTAAACTCCTCTGCACATATACCAGGTACCACCAAATCGCAGCGTTGAACTGGTCCTGACCCGTTTCGGACAGTGTCACCATCCCTTCTTCGCAACAATCTCCCATCATGTCCAACGAGTCTCATTTTCCGCGAACCACATACCCAGAACCGAGGTCTTTGCCTTTGCGTAAGTCCCGGAGCCCTCAGGAAAGCGTGCAGTTTTGAACCATTGTTTCGAGCTCGGCAGAATGAGCAAACGCATGCAGGGTGCAGTGATTCGCAAAGCGTGACTGCACACGTCCGTTCCATCAGAGTCTCAACCCAGAGCTTGCAGCCTGAGCAGCATGGCTGATGGCCCATGATGGCCCATGATGGCCCATGGCCCAAACTTCAAAAAGCTTTGCTGAGTGCGCCGCCGGAGGCCAAACTGCCATCTCTGTCGAACATCATGCTCTACCCACCGCCTTGGCGGCCGCATTTGCTTTGCGTCTGCGCTGTGTCGCACCGCGGGCCCTTGGGCCCTTGCACTGGCTGCGTGAAGGTGAGCTCGAGCATGCCCGGGCCCAAGGGGAGCGCCTAGTCTCGCTGCAGACGTGCTGCAGTGCGATGCGGCAGATCTCAGGTCTTGGCAAGGCCACAGCCCAAGGAGGCCCGAAGCGGCGAACTCGGCCGTGAAACGGTGCCTGACTCGCCGCCTCGCCGCCTCGAAGCCTCGCCTCTCCTTTGCCAAACGCTCCTGCCTATGGAGGGATGGAGGACACCAAGGCTGGTGAAGACCATCAGTCGAAGGCCTCCATCGCAGCGACTCCCCGATCCCTCTCCCTCTCTCCCTCGAGCCTTCCAAAGAGGGAATGTCCAGTGGTCTTGAAGCCTGAACAATCGACGCTCCAGGCAAAAGGGCTTCGAGCTTGTGTCGCCAAGCTGCACCCAGGAAAGCCGATGCCAATGCTTCACCTCCCAAGGCATTGTGCTCCTGCATTAAGGCGTTGAGACTCTGTTGGAGAAGATCTGCCCCCGCATCTGCCGGGCCGGGGATGGTTTCTCCTTGTCCTTGGGGCCCAGGGAGGTCTCGCCGCTCATCCTCCTCGCGACTCAGCGACTCCCAAACTCCCAAACCGAAACCGCTCGTCTTCGACTCTTCGACTCTGACAGTGTTTTAGCAGGAGCAGCAACGCAGCAACGCATCGCCAATTGGGTGCGCGCCTTGCCCTCGGCTCCGCGCCGTTCTCTGCGAAGCCTTTGAGAGCCCAGGGCCCGGAGGCGCCCCCAAGGTGGAAACGGTCCTGAGCGCAGCTCTTCCCAACGGGCAGAAGGAGGCCCATCACCTGAGAATTGCACTCATGTACAACGTACAACGACTCCCGCTAAAATCTGTGTGGAGCAGATGACTTCGAACTACACGTTCGCCACCGCAATGCTTCCTTTTGCTACTTGTACAGCTGCATTGACCTTCGTTTCCTTTGGATGCAAGAGTTCAACTTTATCCTGCGACAGTGGGCACTCTACGGGGCCTACATGTCGTGTGCTACATGCAGTCAGCTGTTCAGTTTGCGACCTCAGGCAGAAGCTGCCTTGAAGACTGCACGGATGGGTGCTGAGAACGTGACATAATGCAAAGTCTGAAGCAAAAGCGAACTTTCTCGACTGGTTCAGTGGGTTGCAAAACAAGTCATGAATGGAGACGCTGTGCTGTGACTCCGCGCTTAAACGCCTGTGCTGAGCCAGATCAGCAACGCCTTGAGGTTCACGCGACCTTTGAAGCTCTTAAGTCCTGACTTGCTGTTGGTACATTTCTAAATCAATCAGGTGGCATGGTCCATAGTTCGCCATGGTTGTTCATTTGGACATTCTGTTGAAGTGCTTCTGAAGCAGTGATATCCAATCGATTCCACCATACGATCTTGTCTCACACTCCAACACAAGGCTCTGTGGGCGATTGCATTGACTGGCATACAATGGCCTGCATCAACAAATTGGCATCTGTGGTCTTCGGAAGCTGTCACTATTGTCCACTATGAAGGGCTACAGCGGTCTTCGCTTTGAGTCGGCTGCCGAGTGTGAAGCCGAGTGCTCAACTTGTCCGATTGCCCTGGCCCTGGCCCTCAGAGAGGATCTCTGGCCAAATGGGAGCAACATGGTCCACACATGTCTGGCCGTCGCGGCTCCAGTTCGCCTACCCACAGGTCAGCACACTCGACTCTCACAATATCCTACCTTTGGGGCAGCTTCCGGGAGTTTATGTAAACATATGTAAACATGTTGTTGAATGTATGCTGGAGCTTGCCAATTTCCTTCGCTTTGGTGAAACATGCTTGCTTTCCATACTTCCTGAGCCTTGCACCAATCATGTTGCTGCCTAGCTATCATTTGGCCCTTGTTTTGACAATGCGATGTTCGCCTGTGCACAATACAGACAAGCGATGGCGTTCCCGAGCCCGATCATTCTCCTTGACTTCGACATCAGCAGATGCCTATTCTGCATTCGCTACTGGCATTCTTTGCCACCCCAGCCACGCAATGTCATTTTCTCGGGGTCGGATCTTTGCTTGCCATGCACTCTTCGTCCCTGGTGAAGATGCGGACGCGTCCCGTGCTTGCTCTCGACAGGCACGCAGCTGTCCACGACGAGCAAGATAGTGCCCTTGGACCGTGCTATGATTCGGAGCAGAGCTGCAAATATGATGCAGCATCTTCTCTACTTGCCAGTTCTCGCATTGCCATCGAGATTGTTGCGGCAACTTGTGTCTTGCGCGCAGATACTACGAGACGACGAGGCTATATGGAGCAGCGTGCATGCGAACACAGGCTCAGAGCCCCCCGTCAGAGCCTTGCTTGCCGAGTTGCGCCGGCAAGATGCAGTTGCCAGAAGGCGTCCGAGCCAGAGCCCGAGCGCCCGGGCTTTATTAAAGCGGTCGTCGCTTCTGCAGTTGCCGCTAGCTTCCCAAAAGCCACGTCGCCTGGAGGCCCTGCAAGCTCTGCCGTGAACTGAGTGTATCGGAAGGACAGGCAAGCCTTGAGGCTGGTCTTCAAGGACCGAAGGCGCTCTTGCTGAAGAGCTATTGAAGGCGAAGTCTTCATGTCCAGATCTCTCAAGGACCAATCTGTGGTCAACCGCCAAGTACCGTTCCAGAACTTGCCACTGACGTGGCACAAGCTTTGCGTGCAAAGATCCACATAGCCGCAGGCTGCGAGCTCTTTGCTCTGCCGGACAAACTCTGTGCCAAAGAGCAAGCCACGCTTCGACGAATGCTCCGAATCCAGACGCAAAGCGAACTCTGTGGAAACCGAGGAGCTTCCAAGCGAAGCAGCGGCCAAAACGCCATTGAAGGGTTGCACGAACTTCAAGTCGAAGCAGGCGCTGCCTAAGGGGGAACCGAAGGGGGGCTCGGGGTGTTTAGCTTTTGGCCGGCTCAGCCTTCCCTGTCCACATTGGCGCTTACCGTGCACTGTCGCCGCGCCTGGTCAGGGTTGCAGGCCACAATCTTAAGGCAACTTGGCATAACTGCATAGCAGGATTCCTGTGCCATTTTGCGAAGACTGTCCGGGGCATTGCGTCCTCGCTATCTGAAGGCTATTACACTTCGAGTGCTGCTCTGCTTGAGCCGCAGCATGCCACAGCAGAGACAAGGATCCGCACAATTGGCATCTTGCAGTGGATCCGAAGCGGCCATTTTTTCTGGGGACCAAACGAACTCCGGATCCCGCCGCTCCCGCTCCAGCTGGATCCGATCGGGAGTTCACTCGGTCGCCGTCGATACCGTGGCCACGGGGACCCACCGCTGCCGCCGCTGCCGCCGCCGTCAGCTTTGCAGGCCTGGGCCTGGCCGGAGATGCTTTCCGCTCCGCTACAGCTACAGCCGCTACATGCCTAATATCTTTTTGTCTACTCTCTGCATCCCCGCAAGTGCTGTCGTTTTCAGGGCCACGTGGTTGAAGGTGCCGTCAAGGAAGCCTTTTGCAAGATGCGACATTTGTAGATTGTAGAACTGCTGGAACAGTGTCCACCTGAGACTCCGCCCCAAACAGCATCCCATCGGAGAAAGGACCTGCGAAGGACACTGGGACAGACAGTGCATGTTGGACTTCGTTGACCCACTGATCCAGCGTCGAGCAGGGAATCCTAGAACACAATAGCCGCAAAAGCAAACAAGATCTGCAAGCCCTTTCGCGGCGGCCGGAACGCTGGGGGGCCACAACGAAGAGCTGGGCGAGCGAGCTCGTGCGAGAGTCTGCAAGCAGGCGAAATGCCTGGATCCTACGTTCCTCTAAGTCGGCCACACCGTCCAAGTACCGAAACCGCGCATGGTTTCTTACATGGGCAGGGCCGTGATGTTGCCGAACCGAGTGCTGGTGGCTCTGCGGTATGTTCAGAGAGGCGCAACATGTTTTCGCATGTTGCCATCTCACTGCCAAAACCGGTCTGAATTCAGAGTCTTTGACTCACCATCGACTAACAGAGCTGCGTGAGAGGAAAAGAGGGATGCTGGTACAGGGTATGAGTACCACAGGTATCGCCCCGAAAGGTTGACCGACGATATTTGCTGAATGTGCCAGGCGCCTGGCCGTTTCATGGGCTTCGAATACATGTGCATGCTTGCTAGATAAAAGACTTCGCCGACAGATTAATCAAGGCTGTGGGATAACTAACTGTGCTCACCGTGTTTGTTTCACAAAAGCGCTCTACGTGCATAGTTCCCGGTTTTGAATCTAGAGAGGCTGTCTCAGGAATGGGTGGCCTGTTGCAAGAATCCTTCCGTTGCAAGTGGAGAAAGCAGGAAGAGCCCATGGGACCGACCGCTTTCTGAGCTTAATCTGCGGAGCTTGGCAGGTGCCTGGCTCTGGGAGCGTGGAGACGACGGCACAGACTCATCGGACTCCACGGCCCTCGCAAGTGCCATGCGAGTGCCAGCAGTGCATGCATGTTACATGATCTTATGATCAAGCAGTGCATGCAGGCTGTATTGCCCTAGTGCTGGCATGTGCCTGGCTCGCGGAGAACACGCGTCACCTGCGAAGCTGTGAATGCTCTCTGCGCTTGGGGTGACCGACGGGGCCCCGGCACCAGAGAATTGCATCCAAATCGAGATGCTCATCCTGGGAAGGGCACACGGCCTCGATGAGGTCCCATGTCACTGTGCTCAGGCGAGCACTAGCGCCGGAAGCTTGGGCAGCTCGCCTCCACCCCAGCGAAAGCGAAAACATGCGAAAGCGGAAGAGGACCCGATGGGGGCCGGGGGCAGCACCTGCGGAGTTGCCGAGTATCAAAGTCCGAGCCTAAGACCAAAAGCGAGACGAAAGATACAGAGGTGCAGCGGCGGAGCGATGCGCTGAGAGCGGCCTTCGGTCGACGGACCTCGCTGTCCATGGCAAATCCCAAAGCAGCCGCGATGCCAGGCAAACCTCCTGCAGAGCTCATTTAAAGTGAATGATTCAATGTGAGTTTCGACAGCTCCTCCTCCTTGCCAAAGTCGAAGTAGGGTAGCCTGAGAGATTTCACTGAAATCGGCCACTAGCAAACCGGAAAGGACTGATGTCAAGCGCACGACAATCTGAGGCTTCACATCCAAGGGCACCTGGAGCGTCTAACAGACGTCAAAACAGAACTGCATTTCCGCTATCCCGTTTCGTTGGTGGGCGCGGGTGTGTTGCACGGCAACCGAGTTGAACTCACCATGAGCGGCAACCTGATGTCATGATTTGCATGATGTCTAGCAGCTCTGAGGCGATTCTACTGATAGGCGCTTTGGGCTCGAGTTCAAGCATAGTGCTATATACTATTTTGCAACCGCGACTTCGTTTCCTGCCGTCGGTTCCAAATTGATCCAAATTGGAGAGGAGCAGGTAGATTGTGATTGCGTAGCAGCAGATTGCCAGCGCCGATTTGGGGAGTGACTGAGCCATGTCCGTAGCAGGTGAAAAGTACCGAGTGCCACGATGGGTATGCAGAGTCCCTCAGCAGAAACCAAGAGCGGGATCGTATATCTATGCACATGTTCGCGTGCTTCAGCATTATAAGCCGAAGCTGCGAGATCCTCAAGTCGAGGACATGAGGAGTAATCAATGCGGAATGCGTTACAAACGCGCAGTCGAGTTCCTCGAGGTGTGGAAAGCGGCAGTGGGCAGTGTCAACGCACTCGTTACACTGACACACTCCCGGGAGCTGACCACGATCACGAAGCCGCGCGGCCAAGAGAGGAGCGTGAAGATTCCGCACTGAGGAGGATCTTCGACATCGGCGTGGAGCTCGGACCCAAGACGGGATTCAGGTGGAACCGCAAAGTGATTTTCGCAACCTTTCCTGATGGGCTCCTGACGCAGATCCGGCAGGCACTGGGGGAGAGGCCAGCGAGCGCACTGTGGCTTGGCCCACACGCGCCTTCGGGTTGTCAGGCCGGTGATAGACGACATCAAGAGCTCTGTGAAAAGCATGATTTGAAAGTAAGACTGGTCACCTGGCATACGAAGCCAGGGTATAAAGCCTGTGGGAAGTTCAAGGACCAAAGGACATCAATCTGTGGAATCTTTTCTGTGCTTGAGCGATGCTTTTGAATGTGCTGCTTAAGCTCAAGTGTGAGAAAAGTTTTCGCATATACACGAGGCCATCGACTACAGCGCATGGGAATGGAGGTGGAACAGTGGGTGTGGACTCGCTGAGTTTGTTAGTCCAGGGCACGAGGCAACTCCAGGAAGTTTACTTGGGGCTCCGAAGCTGCCAATGATGCCCGAGCCTGAGTCAGCTGTTGCATACAGCGATTGGTTGTATGACATCAAACAAGGAGTTGGCAACCTCAGTGACAAGGCCAGCGCGTGGTTTGGTCTGCGCATGAAGGCTGCCCAGGACGCTTACAATTCAATATCTACCAGACCAGCAACCCTTTGGGAAGGCTGAGTTTGGAGCCGTTTCGTGGACCGGAGCTTATGGACCCGAAGTGGTCCCGACTGAGGAGGAGAGTCTTGACGATGATGTTGGCAACCGTCCAGAAGACTGCGAAGGATCATGCGCTGACCAACCGCATCGGGATGGTCCCAGGACTACTTTTACTTTTCCGTTTTGTAAAACCCTAAAAAGCTGTTCCGCACTTTTCTCACTCAGCCAGGGCTTCAGAGATCTCAGATTCCGCATGCATGCTTTAGCATGATGTATTCGAAAGAATGTGATCACTGTGCATGCATACACGTGTGATGTGGGTGCGCATGCATTTACACGCCCCCTCCTCTGATGCACTAAGTGATGCATCTGGACATTTCACATCACACTCCAAAGTTGCTCGGTCCATCTTGGACCCTAAAATTTGCTTGGCTTCTTAAAAGCTTTGGTTGCAAAAGAAACTCGGCTGAGGAAGGAAACTGTACTTGCAGACTACACTCACGTAGTGCTCGCGGTTGAAACTAAGTCCTTGTGGGCAGCTCGCCGCGCCACTGCTGCCAGCCGCGCCGAAAGCTGCCGCCGAAGTGGTTGCTGTGGGCACCGATCACGCTCCATGCATGACCCTGTAAACGTCGAAGTAGCAGCAATGGCAGGGCTGCTTTCCAGACGAAGGGCCTCCCTCACTGGCATCGAGCGGAAGGTCCTTGCTGACCCTCTGTGTAGTTTCGGCAGGTGCGCCGATGAAAAGCATACCCTCTGTGGCTCGCAAGCCACACAGCGCCCAGCTCCACTTCAGTGAGTGCTCGGCGCCCTTCACGCTGTGGTTCACGTGCCGGAATGGCCACTGGCACCGGGCGTGGTGCAGGGGCCACTTGCGCAGTGGTAATTGGGCTCGTTGAGAAGAAGAAGAAGCACGTGCCGTAGGCGCCGCAGGTGTGCTCGAAGAACTTGCCGTAGAAGAGGAAGCCGCGGGAGTCGTGGACCACAAAGTGTTCCCAGCAGGTGCCGTCGGAAAGCCTTCTTCCTGAGTCGCTCGTCGTCCCAGTGTAGGCAGGAGGTCGTCTCCAAAAGCTGTGCCAAACTCGCCCTCGGCGGTGTCCTCGTTGTCGGCGGTGTCCTCGTTGTCGGCAGTCTGCTCGTCGTTGGTGTTGTCCTCGTTGTCGGTGGCGTCCTCGTTGTTGGTGGCCTGCTCGTTGTTGTCGCTTGCTGGAAACGCCCCCTCGACCTGCATAGCCAGGCCCAAGCCCTGAAGAAGGAGAGCGGTTCTCCAGCACGAAAGTCAGCCGCCACGTTGCCCCAAACAGCATGTAGAAGACAACCGTCACCATCACAATGCCGAACAGCATGTACAGGTAGCCGCCGCCAACCAAGGAGAAGCTATAGCCAATGAAGTAGATGGTCTCGATGAGGTAGTCCAGGAAGTTGCCGCCGCCGTCGTTGTTGTTGCCCGGGTCGCAGCCTTCAAGCTGCGTCGCCAGCAAAGCCTGCACCATCATCAGCAGCTTGGTCGCTTTGGCACCCTTTGGGACCGAGGCCTTGCCATCATCACGAAATGGCTTGCCGCTGCCATCCACCATGCCCATGATCCCACAAAGCTTCCTGAGGCGTGCTCCTGTGAGCACTTTTGTGCCAGCGTCTGCCAGGTTGATGTCGGTGGGGATGGCGAGGACCTTAAGTTCCTTGTTGGCCGTCCACATTTGTATCCAAAGACGAGACGTCAGCAAATGCCGGACACGGCCCACACCGGCCCGCTGTGCAATTGCACGGGCAACGCTCGAATCCGTTCGGGCGATCATCTCCATGGGGCCGTCGGTGATGAAGGCCCACGCCTTCTTGATGAGCACGGCCTCCGACACCACTTGCGTCAATGAATCAAGTTCCGCCTCGCCGCTGGAGAGGGTGACCACTTTCTGATTTCTCACGAAGCTGTAGACCAAGGTGCTGTTGAGGTAGACTTGCCCAGAAGACAGGCTTTGGCGGGTCTCCCGGTCGTTTGCGAAGTTGCTGTCGCTGACGGCCTCCCCCAGCGCTGGGCTGGAGCTGTGGTAGTCCATGTGGTCTCGGCACAAAATGGATTTCCCAGGGTAGTTCTTGACGTTCACGCCGTAGTCGCGGGTGCTGTGGAGGTAGCCGGCCAGGTGGCGCAGGGTTTCATAGCATGTTCCGTCGGGCTGCTTGATTTTCCCGCAAGGTACTGTATCACCACCTGCGTGTCCGGCCTCTCGTTGCTCAGGTAAAGGAGTTTTCCCACCACGGCGCGAAAGAGCTTGCCATCGTTGAAGCTGAGGGCCGGGGAGGAGTTGACGTGGAAGAGGCTGTCGCCGCCACCTGGTCCAGGAGTGCTTCGGGCCCGCGGTTGGCCCAACATCTCGAAGAGGTCAGTGTAGAACCGGGCGTCGGGCCGCACCGTAATGGAGCGGTCTTCCTCAATGGTTAGCGCCGGTTGAGGAAATTCCATTCATCTCCTGGTTCCTTGAAAGGGCCCTGCACCTTCATCACGTACTTGCCCTCCAGGGTGGTGATCACCTTGTTGGTGTCGTCGCCAGTCATCATGGTGCACCTGTGAAGCTTGGCGACCTTCGAGGTTGCGAAGCAAAGTGGGCACCTCCGGGAGCCCTTCCATGTGACACTCGCTGAGGTCGGTCTGTTGTGCACCACGACTCTGTCCAGGCAGCACACGCCCAAGTTCCCAGAACTTGCCGTCGATGAGCACCACCACCGGCTCATCCTCAGGCTGCTCCACGTTGAGGTAGGCATCCTTCACGTCACACACGTAGATGCCAGTACCCCACTCTAGCTTGAGGAGGTGCCTAGACAACGGAGTGACCGATGCAGGCGAGAAGGTCTCTTCATCCCCATTTCACTGGCCCATCTGTGTTGCCTGGCGACGAGCCGCGATCGCCGCCACCACCCAGGCCTATCACCTCCCAGTTCTCGATGGCCATCCTCGGTTCACGCAAAACGTCAATCTCCCAGTCTCGAAGCAGTTGGCCTCGTCGCTTTCAGAGAGCACCGGTGGCTCACCGGTCAGCTCGCCCACAAGCTCCCAGTCACGCGGGCCCAGCCGCGGTCTCAAAGCACTCCGTGTCAACGGTCTCAGCACTGCCATGAGGATCGTCACCGTGGCAGGCTGCGTGGTCCGCTTGCTCGGCATCATCCAAACCAACGTCCCGGCCTTTCGTTTTGAGGCTGGGCTTCCGCTGGCACCCGAGGCAGGTCGCCCGGTTTCCCGGAGGCGTTTTGAGCTTAGCGGCGTGAAGCCACTAACACCACTGTCTGCAGTAGCTGAGGTAGCGCTTCAGGGTAGACGCTCTGGTTTTTTCCCGGCAGCAACATAGCGGCCCGCACGGAGCTTTGCCAGCGGACGGGGGCGTGAATCTCTAGCAGCTCCTCTCGATCGAAGCTTTTTAGAGCTTCTCTTCTAGCGGCTCCTATCGAGCCTGGTCGTCCACCGGCTGCGGGAGAGGCGGCATCAAGGCCCGCCAGGTGAGGTCATCACTGAAGTAGCCGTGTGTCCTTTTGTACACGGTAGCCAACAATAGACTGCATCCCATAGCCAGGCCTGGCTCCTGCGCCAGCTGCTTAGCAATTTCCTTCGATTCTTCCAGCACAGATAGCTCCAGCACCCCAAACTTCTGGCAAAGCATGCCGGGAGGCGCGGTCCAGCGTACGCCTAGGTTCTTGTTGGACCGTAGCCTGCGCAGCTAGCTCTGCCTCCACCTCCCAGCCATCAGACAGAATACTAGCATTTTGGGCAATTTTGGGGGGGAGGTTCACCTCCCCGAAAGGAGCCCGCACAGTATCGTCCCCCGGCCTCCCTAGCGGGGACGGACCGCGTAGCGCAGTCGGCGGCTGCCCCATCACCATGGTGGGTACCAGTGTAGTAGCGTCGCTGTCCGACATTGCAAGCGCGCCAAAGCAGGGCTAATTAGCCCTGTTCCCCTTCCTACCACTCAACAATTGACCCCCTGTAGCAGGGGTCTTTCAGCACAATGGCTACGGAATAACTTAAGTTCCTCCGGCCAAGTGCAGACACTCTAGCGAGACAGACGGGCACTGCTCTGTTTAGCTTCCGAGGAAAACTCTTCGACGTTTTCTAGCGAAACACCTTCGATGTTTCAGGCAAGGGATACCAGCGCTAGCATACACGGTCGTACCTCGTCCCTCGGCACGAGTGCGACGCGCCCTAGAGCAACGGACTCCAGCGTGGCATCCAACACCCGAAGAGCAGGAGCTACGTTGTCTCTTCCATACACCACATCGCTTTCAGACCTCGAGGAGCTGTGGTAGCCTAATACAAAAGGGTGGCCTGCAGAGAATGCATCCCCAGCTGCCGAACCGAGGATGAGTCCGCCCCTGAGCGGCACAATAGGCTGCGGAGCCATGTAACAATTAAATCCTGCCACCCGCCACTCTCGACGGGCGATGGCAACAAAGGCAAGTCCTCACCAGAGGGAGGCCCGTCCTGGCTCGCAATGGCGCGCCACCTCAGGGCCCAGTAGCTCGAAGCCAAACCCTGCATCGGAGCGCATAAGAACTTGGTTTTCCTCGCAAGGGTGCAAGCTGTCTTAGTTCGGGTCACGCTGGCTTCCAAGAATTCCGTGGCCCGTCCTCCAGCTGAACAACATCTTCGATCATGCTCCCACAGGCCTGCGTGTCGCTGAACCGAGCACGGGCGTAAATTGCAAAAAGGAAGCATCCAGTCACCCAGCAGCACACCTGTCCGCCATACTGAAGTCACCCTCGCCGAGAACAATGTTTACATGCGCAGCCGTTAACAGAGGCTCCTGGACGAGCTTCCACTTCTCAAGAAAGAAGCCCCGAGAGCAGCTCCAGTGATCCGAGCCGAGAACACGTTTCCTTCACACTGCAATCCGAGGAGGTGGTAACAGAATGCCAGGAATCCCAAGAGGCCTGTTTAGCTCCATATTCCTTTCCTTCAGGAAGTAGTAAATCAAACCCTCACGCAGAGGGAAAGGCTTTGCCCTTCCTCACGACAGAACTTGAGTAACCGAATCAACGGGCCCGATCGGCTATGCAGAGTGCTGCTGGCCTTGACGGAGAAGATGTCACTCAAGATTTCCTTCAAGAGATAAGACGCAAGCTGGGGCTCACTGCTCGGCAGCGAGGCTAAAGTGATTGGCGTGTGCATCAACAATCTTCTCCCACTTGACAAGAGCTGCTAGCCTATTCTCAGACATTTTGGTTCGTTTCACGATCCTTGGACTTGGGTCCAACATGGGCCCACGAATCAACTCCCGGCAAATTGTCTGACTGCGAAGCACTGGCATCTGGTCTGACCGCAGTCCTAGACTGAGTGGCCACGAGTTGATGTCGAGGAAGCTGGGGCAATAACCTGAAAGGCTGTCAAATGGGAGATCTTTCCCAGGGTTGCACAGACCTGCTCTTGGGCATGCGAAGCACAGGAGTCAAGATGCTGCTCATACACCTGATCGGTCGCTCGCTTCATGATGGCAAGCCCTCCCCCGTTTCAACAAGCCGAAGGAAGCGGGCAGGCACGGCAGAGCTGAAGCACAAGGTACTGAAAACAATCACCCAGATGCAAAACACGTTCGGTCAAGACCTCGAGGCCTGAGGAACCGATAGGCCCAGACTGTAGCCTCTGCCAACCTCGCAGCTGTTGGGCCTCGAGCTCTTGCACGCGAAGCTGAGAGCCCTCTTGATGGTAACCTGTGAGGTCTCCCTGTAAGACGGCCACCTGATGCCGCAACTCGGACACCTGAGCAACCTCCGTCTGAAGCTGCCCGATGGCACGCAAAGCAGCCTCGGACTTGGCGGGCCAGAGACCATCCGCTGTCCACAAGAGCACAGCTTGCAAAGAAGGCTAATCCCAGCCTAGAGCTTTGCACCCCGAACCTGCTAGATGGCAGTACAGCCTCTAGAGGGCCCAGACAAAAATTTCGGATCTCGCCTCTCAATGCGAACTTGATCCTTGAGAGAGGCGGATATAAATCATCATGTCACTCATGAGCATACAACAATGGTTTGCAAACAATTCAGGCAAAACCATTGAAACGAATCACGCAAAAAAACTTTGTTGATGTCTTCCTACAAAAAGGTGGACACGCGAAAAGCGAGTTTCAAAAGCCCACTCGCATGTGAAACATAGCTTCAGCTATAATGCCAGAATGAAATAAGTTTCAAAATGGGCTTCTGTGCAGCGCTGCCTCAGGTTCTGGCGGAATGGGTCCTGAAGAGCTCCGAAAATGGCGAAGGCACATCGCGAACGGGCACTTGCCCTACAGTCGGGTTCGGTGGCCGTTACACGAGGAGCTCAGCTGTGTGCTCATCGAGATTCTCACAATGATTCGGCTTCCCAGAACACTGTGGCCGCTTTGACTGATTCTGGAGGTCAGCGGCGTGAAGTCTCTCCTGGGAGAGGGATTCAAGGGCGAGTTCATGTACAGCCAGGGAGCCCGGCGACGTTCAGTCCGAGGAAGTGACACGAAACTCGGCGTTTTCAAGGAGATCGTGTTGTGATGACGGTGTACACTCCAAGGACAAACAAGTTGTCCGTGAGAGCTCGGTTTTGATCTACCAAACTCGGAGGGAGACAGCCAACCTCCCTCTCAAGCAGCACCAGCGTTGAGGCAACAGTACTTCCTCGATCAGGACGTCACTCCTAAGACATCGTCTTACAAGGAGTTGTCTGAGGAGGAGGAGGAGGAGGAGGTGGAGGAGGAGGAGGAGGAGGAAGTGCTGGATGGGGCCCTTCTACGCGCAAGCGAGTATACCAACAACAACTTGTGGATGATATGTTGGACCGTTCCTCCCTGCTGCCAAAATCTACTTGAGGAGGAGCAAGAGCGCATAGTGTGCAGGGGAAGCATGGAGACGGCTACGCTGCTATGCAGGCCCACTGTGAGATCACGCAGATGCTGGAGTCAGTGAATAAGCCAGTCCGCCAACGGGAAGCGCGAGATGAATGTTTCTTGAAAACGATCAACATGGAGACGGAGCCTCAAGGTTATGAACGAGCTCACAAGTGATCTACAAGTGACACACACAGTACCTCTTCAGCAAGTGAAGCCGGTGGCGCACAAGTGGCGCAAGGCGACTTAGAAGGAGCTGGCGAATCTCTTTGAGAAGACCGGCACTCTTCGGAAGATCAGCATGAAGGAGGCTAAACGCTTGGAAGCGCACGGTCTCCTGAGAATTGTGCAAAGCAACGGCGTCTACATGCAAAATGCCTTTAAAAAAGGGGGGTGGCTTCCGACGGAAGTACAGACTTGTGCTTTGCGGAAACACTGAGAGGCTGGAGGACAGTCACGGGTCGCTCTACGGCGGAGGCATCAGCGCTAAGCCTTTGCGTGCGATCTTTTCCATCACTAGCGACGTCAACTTCGCGGAGGATGGGGAGGATTGGCTTGTGCTACGTCCTTTGTATGGACTGCGGGAGTCACCTGCGGTTTGGGCTGAGCGCCGAAATGGGAGATTCGGTCGTTGTTGTGCATTCCTCACCGTGGAGGTTACATCGTGCTACAACAATCGAAGGTGGATGCAGAGCTATGGTTTGCAGTGAACCAGTCTGGCAGCCAGGAGGCTCAAGGCACGTTAGTTTCTTTGGTCGTGGCCTACGGGCCTACGTGGACGATTTGTTGATTTGTTCTACATTGGGCCGGACGCTGTTGCGCGACTGCTTCATGAGTGGGTCAGTGCTGAATGGCCGCAATGGGCAGCTGCACCAGAAGGAGTCCGGTATCTGGGAATGGAAATCTTCGAAAGGGAGAGAGGTGAGTATGAGGTGACTCAACAAGGGTATGTCACGGACTTGACTGATTCGCTCCCAGGACCTTCACCAAGCTCCTCAAACCTTGCTGCCATGTCCGAAGGAATGGATCACTGATGACGTTGATACAGAACCTGAGGTGTTTCAATCAAGTGATCTTCGCTTCGCCCAGAAGCTGATCGCGGAGCAGCTCTGGCTGGCGATGCGTTGCACCCCAGATATATTCACTTTGTCGTCAGCTATATGGCCAGCTGGGTCAACAAACATCCTCTGGGAATCACACGCTTGGCGCTGCCAGTGCTGTCCTACTTGCACAAGACGGCCCGTATGAAGATGATCCTCGGCCAGCCTATTGATGGTGTGGAAGGAAGCTTGAATCAGGATGATACAACAGCACAAAGCAGCAGCAACAGCTCCAAGCAACATGGTGGTTGGGCGGGCTGTAGTCTTCAAATGCTTACTCAGACGCTAGCTTCGCCCCATTCGGAAGCCGATCCTACGGAGCATCCTTGATAATGGTCGAAGATTCGCCAATCGCTTGGCGATGCGGAAAACAGGCGTTCGTCGTGCTTTCAGTGCTGAAAGCAGAGCTTTACCAGGCGACAGAAACAGCAGTTCTCACTGAGAATGTGGCGACCCTGTTGGACGAGGTAAGTTCGATCGTTTAGACCGAATTCTTCTTGTGGACAATACTTCAGCAATGCTTTCGATGGCCCAAGGAGAGCCGGGGAACTGGCGCACGCGCCACCTCAGGGTGAGGGAAGAGTATTTGTTGGAAAGTGTCAAGGAGAATCTCGCAAGGTGTCCCACATTGACGGAGCGAAGCAGAAGGCGGACATTTCTACGAAGGCTCATTCGAAAGCCAGGTTGTGCACATTGCTGAAGATGTGGAAGTTTGAGGGCCTTCCGACTGAAGCAGAAGAGTTCATTGTGGCGCGTATGGCAGCTGCTTTATGTCTTGATCTTATGTCTTGAAGGACTTGCCGAGGGCTCCGGGAGTTTCAATTGAAACTCTGAGCAGTGTGAGTGTAGCTGGGTGGGATGAGCTGATCATCTTTACCTTGGTTACTTGCTTGGCTGCAATCCTGGGGTGGGAGGCAATGAAGTCCGTGCGATGGCAAAGGCGGCAGCAGAGGCTGAGGTAGACCGAGCGTTGTCACCTACAGTTGACGACAATGATGCTCCTCCGAGGGCTCTTGTTGGGCCTGCGAGCACAGGTTCCCTTCTTCGCTGCGTGTGGAAAGGCGCTCGATTGCTACGCAGACTCCAGACTGGGAGACGACGACGACGACACCTCCACTGATGCTTACTCCACCACCGACATATGCGGCTTCAACGGTTTCATCCTCGGGAGTACATTCATTGCGATGGGCCGCTCTTCAATTCATCAGAACACGGTGATACAATCCATACGTCAGGGTCGTGCCAAGGCTTCCGTTTGGCGTCATGTCACATTCTGCAGTATAGGTTGTGCAACTTCAGCAGCAGGCGTGATCCACTGTACAAGACGAGAGAGCGTACGTTTGGGTCAACAAGAAGGGCTTTGAGGATTTCCAGCACCGGTTGATTGGAAGTGAACCTGATACCACGTCAGGACACAACTCAGGGGTCTAGACAGCGTGCCAGGAGCAGGGTTGTGGTGCAACCTGGCAGCACCAGATCATGATTATCTACGTCTCCGCACTTGTGACATCCTCCTAAAGCGGAGGTGTCAAGGAGGAGTGTGGATTCGTTTGTTTGCTTGAGTCAGGCTTGAGTGATGCTTTTGAATGCGCTGCTTAATCTCAGGCTCGCGCATACTCTGCCGAAGATCCGTAGACAACTTACAGCATGTAAAGCAGAAGCTGTGGCAACTTGTACATTTGTGTTGCCGAGATCGCGAAAATAAGTCTTTGCCGTGCGATGGATTCTGTCCTTTATAAGCTTCCCCGGACCTCTCGTGAAGACCCCTGCAAGCGCTCCGCTGTCTTTCGTTATTCACACAATCCTATCGGGCACTTGAACAGCCACGACAATCCGTCGTTTTTGGCTCCCGTGGTCTTTGCACGCGGAACGACATCAAAGCATTTTTGAAAAAAAACCTCAGTGACTTCATTGGGCGTGCAGAGGTCGCGTTAAGCAGGTGACCCGATGTAACGCATCATGTGCGCAGCCGTTTATGTGGCTGAGCCCTGAATGAGTTCTGTGAAGGAAAGCTCGGATTCACTGATGGCCACTTGGATGTGGTAATCAGGCTTGCGTACCATATCACAAGTAGTGCAGTGCAGACTTCAAGTTACTCGCCAAAATGTCTTGCGATTCCGAGACTGGCTCGTTTGCGGGCATTCATCTGCTGGGGGTTTGGCAGGTGGCGGTGATCCTGGTTTCGCTAGAGCTTCATCCTTCACAACTGCAAGTGCATAGAGGAGGCAGGATCCTCGTCACGAACAAGACGGTGAGCTCAGAGAATGTTCGGCTGTCACAGCAGCGGGCAGGCCTAGACAATTGCAGGGAATGCCACAAGATACTTTACCAGCTACAGAGTTGCTGCTGGAACAGGTTCGCCTGTTGATGCAACAATTGCAGCCCGACTTTGCCAAGGAAAGGGCTCTGCTTGCAGCATGGGCCACACAGACGTTGTTTGAGAAGTATTTGGCTGCGCCCGCTCCAAGCTGAGGCCAGCTACAAGTGGCAGTATACCTAGTTGTATGCTTCGCCAAGCCGGTGGATGACGAATTTTCAGTTGCCTGGGTGGAGCTCAGGAAGAAGCATGCCAACGAGTGCTTCCAGTTCGTATATTAACGTCAGGAGCACTGTCGACAACGAGATGTCACAAACAAGCTTGCAAGTACAGTTGAGCGCTAGAGTTGAAGCACGGTTTGCGGAGCATGAGTTCGACGATGCAACATCGAGCGCGCCATGTTACAGAAGGCTGTGTCGTGTGTGGAAGGTTGATGAGGTTGAAGATGCCTTCTGTTCAAACCAGGATGCACAAAGACAGGGCACTTCCCGCAGAAGCATGAGCAAGCTTTGACAGATGCCATGACAAGGTTTGAAAGCATGGACGTTAAGGATATTTTGTCACTGGCTTTCTTTGAACTTGCAAATCGTGGAGGATCAAGAAAAAGGCTTGTCGCTTTGACTGATGATGTAGTGCCGTGGCCTTGTTGGCGAAAGCCAATTCGGAGTCTGCGAGCTCCAGCGAAGATCGCGAAAACCGTCAGGATGCCCAGGTAGGTCCAACTCAGCTTCAAAAAACGCCTCCGGGGAAAAGGAAAAGGCAAGGGCAAAGATGGCATCAGATGCCAATGGCCAGGGCAAGTCGAAAGGACAAGCGCGCATCGCAGCAGGGGCCGAGGTTTCTGGTAGGATGCAGAAAAGCGCCGTATTGTGTCGCGCAAACGTTGCGCAAAGAATTCAGATCATTGCCACATAGTCCGTGTTCAATGGCGTCCAGAACTTGGTTCCTGCAGATGTGCTTGGCGAAGGGAAATTCATTCCGTGTAATCGTGGTTCATTCCATCAAGTTCAGAACTCGACAAATCATGACCAATTGCACGGACGTCTGTTGTTATGCAAGTTTTCCCAGATGACAACCGAAGAAGGACGAGCTGTCCTTTGAGAAGCTCCTTGTAGCCACCTTCTGATAGAAAACATTTGACATGGCTTGTGCAACACGGCGCTAGCATTGCAGTCGCGGACTGCGACACGGGACTTGGAGATGCGCTGTGCTGAGGACATGGATTCGTCAACGTCTTGTTTCCCAACTTTCTCAGGGGGTTTGAACAGATTTCGGATTACGAGTTTCAGACCAGGATGGACGGCTGCAAACAACCCGCTGATGCATTGGTGCAGGTTTTCAAAACAGGTACCTTCAGTCGAAGCCTTCAGTACTTGTCAACATCCACAAGATCTCACCGATCTAGACCTATTTGTAATTTGTGGGGTGTTTGGCGGGTTCCATTTGAAACGTTTTTGGTGGAACAATTAAACCCGCAGCTGTGTAAGCTGCAGTCGCTTGTCGTTTCCACCGACCAGTTGCTTGGAGAATTGAGCACCGTGCGGTCACGCCGGCAATGAAGTTTTCGCATTCGACTCTGTAAGTGGGTCGAAGCCATTTTCTGTCGATCATCAGCGGCTTTCCGCGGAGCACATGCTTCGTTGCGTTCGAAGGCTGCAGCTGTCTGAAAACACAGACGGCATATTCCCGCTGGACTAGCGGTTGCTGGATCGTTACAAACACGTATCTCTGGCATTGGGATTGCTTCATTGCTGAGCAAGCGGGTCAGCTCTTGCAATTTATTCGCACATGTGTTGACGATTTGCTTCTGTTATGTCGCAGTCACCATTACCTTGATGATACTTTGCATCGGTGGCACCCTTCGGTGAAGATTGAGCTGTCAGAGAGTCTGGAGACAAGTCGGCAAGCTCAGTATTTGGATGTGAATCTATGTATTCAGCAAAGATGATAGGAGTGTGATTTGGATTCTCTTCAACAAACCACAAATGCTTCAGTTATGCATTCCTGCTTGCAGCAATCATCCTCCAGCTGCGTGTAAATCCTTTCAGACTAGAGTTTAGAGGGTTCCCACACTGTCAGTCTTGCAATCGGCCCAACGCTGATGCGGAGCAAAGAATGGCAGAGTTCAATCGCAATCTCAAACAAAAAAAGCCTCACTGCGTTTGGCAAGTTTGTGCGAAATTACAAGCTCAAAGAAGCTGGCAATGGGACTGTACTTTGTGAAGCATCTTTCAACAAAGCTCCGTCTTGTGAAGCAATGCATCATAATGCATCATATATATATATATATATGTATATTATCACGTTCCGACGAAGAGTGCTTCAGGTTTGGCAATGCTTCGCAACGAGTATCACAGAGTTGTCAGGCTAGTCCCAGCTGAGGCGCCAGAGCCAAGGGCCGGAAGGCACACAGCCTCGGAGACATGTCAGGCTCGGCGGGCAAGCCGTGGTGCTGCTGGAGCCACTTAGGGCCACGGCACGTCCGGGTCAACCAGCAGCGCCCGGCAAATGGAGAAGACCTCCAAGTATGCAGATCGAGAATCAAAACGGTGTTTGGCCGTGAAGGGGAAGTAGCGGAGCAGTGGCTTTTGGGTGGCCAAGCACATGGAGTTCTTGCTTCCAGCTGTCGGCACCGAAGCCATGAGCACCAAGGCCGGGGATGTGGTTGGCAGCAACATCTTCTGCACCACGAACCACAACAAGTGAGGCCCGCCCACAGTTGCTCCGGGGCAACGACGTGAGAGTGCTGCGCAGCGTCTTCCCAACGATCCGTTTTGCCCCCGTGCAAGCTGGAACGAATCACCCAAGCAATATAAGCAAAGTGTAGAAGGGCACATTGGCTCCCCTTTTTTGGGCTCATCATGATCATCATGATCATCATGCTCATGCTGACTCATGTTTCTGCAGAGGATGTCGAGGTGCGGAGCCGTGCCTGGGAGGATCCCGGGCCCAGGCTTTGGGGCTCGCGATCTTTGTCCAGGCCCACTGCTGCCAGCAGCGCTTCGCAGAGCTCCAGAGGTGCGCCCGTGAAACTTAGCCTGAGCGAATGGGCGGGGCAGGGGGGGAGCGAGGGGGCGCCGGCCCCGGCCCAGATGTGTCTCATGGGATGCGCTTCTTTCCAAGGAGCTGCTCCAAGGTCGAGGGCCCAGTTCCGAAAGTCACAGGCACAGTGGGGAGCATCTTCAGTGTCAGGCCTTGAAGGCGCAAGCAGCGCAAGGCCGAAAGAGTGCTCTAGTGACTCTAGTGACTCGACCAAACCATGCGTCTAGCTCTCTCAGTCTCTTTTTTTTTGCCCTGCCGAAGCTCCCGGTGGGACCAGCACCGAAGGTGTCTTCAGCGATGCTTCCTCGCCCAAAGGTCCTCGAAAAGCCAGACAATGGGGGCCGGCCCACTTTTGGGGTATCTCAGGCTCTAGCCGGTGGGGAGGATGACCTGACAACGAATGTCGGTAGACACATGCCCGACATTTGAAAGCGTTGCCTGCGCAGCGAGGCCAAGAAAGCTCCGCAAGACACGCCTCGAAGCCGCGACGCAAAAACGTTGCAAACCATACAACACCTTGCGACAGCACCTGGTGCAACTCGAAAAGTGGTGTGTAGTGCGTCTTGATGCTTTTAGACTGCCGACGACAACAACTGCCGGGCTGACGGATGATCTGAAGGTCTGCGAGGCGCGTATATTTGCGACATACACACAAACAACGAATCAAACAACCCCATGCAAACAACAACTGAACACAAGCGAGGTCACTCGAAGAAAATCACACCAGAGATGTAAACACGATTTGGCAATTTGTTGCGCACCTAATGCAGGACATCTCGAGCTTCCGAGATCTCACAGCATGCAAAGAAGAACACATCAGGGGCGGAGGCTCGTTCCTTGCGGACACATGGATTGCACGCCTCGGTCAGTGGCTTCGGTGTCTCGCGAAGCGCAGCAGCTCGGAGGCAGAGACCAAGGTCCGTGCCCGAGTGGCAGACAACAGCCTGTGCCCGTGCAGGGTCTTGTCGGGGCTATGTGTGGGGGTGTGTGTGCACCTTTTCGAAGCCGAAGTTCCGAGAAGGTCGAGCCTACCTCGCACGAGTGCAGATTGCTCTGCACAGCACAATGAGCGTTTGTTGCCGTTGTTGGTGCTGTTGTGGTCGTTATTGATGTTGTGGTTGTCGTTGTCGTGGTTGTTTTTTGTCGTTGCTGTTCTTTGTTGCTGCTGTTTGTTGTTTTAGTTGTTTCGTCGTTTGGTCTCTCTGGGGCATCTGCTCAAGCTCGTTTTGGCTGCTGCTCAAGCTCGTTTTTGCTTCTGCTCAAGCTCGTTTTTGCTTCTTCTCAAGCTCGTTTGTGCTTCTGCTCAAGCTCGTTTTGGCTTCTGCTCAAGCTCGTTTTGGCTTCTGCTCAAGCTCGTTTGTGCTTCTGCTCAAGCTCGTTTTGGCTTCTGCTCAAGCTCGTTTTTGCTTCTGCTCAAGCTCGTTTGTGCTTCTGCTCAAGCTCGTTTTGGCTTCTGCTCAAGCTCGTTTTGTGCTTCTGCTCAAGCTCGTTTTGGCTGATGCTCAAGCTCGTTTGTGCTTCTGCTCAAGCTCGTTTTTGCTTCTGCTCAAGCTCGTTTGTGCTTCTGCTCAAGCTCGTTTTGGCTTCTGCTCAAGCTCGTTTTGGCTTCTGCTCAAGCTAGTTTTGGCTTCTGCTCAAGCTCGTTTGTGCTTCTGCTCAAGCTCGTTTTTGCTTCTGCTCAAGCTCGTTTTGGCTTCTGCTCAAGCTCGTTTTGGCTGCTGCTCAAGCACGTTTTTGCTTCTGCTCAAGCCAGCTCTGCTCGTTTTTGCTTCTGCTCGTTTTTGCTTCTGCTCAAGCTCGTTTTGGCTTCTGCTCAAGCTCGTTTGTGCTTCTGCTCAAGCTCGTTTTGGCTTCTGCTCAAGCTTCTGCTCAAGCTCGTTTTTGGCTTTTGCTCATGCTCGTTTTGAGCTCGTTTTTGCATCTGCTCAAGCTCGTTTTTGACTCCTGCTCAAGCTCGTTTTGGCTTCTGCTCAAGCTCGTTTTTGGCTGCTGCTCCAGCTCGTTTTGGCTTCTGCTCAAGCTCGTTCTTGCTTCTGCTCAAGCTCGTTTGTGCTTCTGCTCAAGCTCGTTTTGGCTGCTGCTCAAGCTCGTTTGTGCTTCTGCTCAAGCTCGTTTTTGACTCCTGCTCAAGCTCGTTTTGGCTTCTGCTCAAGCTCGTTTTTGGCTGCTGCTCAAGCTCGTTTTTGCTTCTGCTCAAGCTCGTTTTTGGCTTCTGCTCAAGCTCGCATCTGCTTCTGCTCAAGCTCGTTTGTGCTTCTGCTCAAGCTCGTTTTTGGCTCTGCTCCAGCTCTGCTCGTTTTTGCTTCTGCTCAAGCTCGTTTTGTGGTTCTGCTCAAGCTCGTTTTTGCTTCTGCTCAAGCTCGTTTTGGCTTCTGCTCAAGCTCGTTTGTGCTTCTGCTCAAGCTCGTTTGTGCTTCTGCTCAAGTTCGTTTGGCTTCTGCTCAAGCTCGTTTTGTGGTTCTGCTCAAGCTCGTTTTTGCATCTGCTCAAGCTCGTTTTTGACTCCTGCTCAAGCTCGTTTTGGCTTCTGCTCAAGCTCGTTTTTGGCTGCTGCTCAAGCTCGTTTTTGCTTCTGCTCAAGCTCGTTTTTGCTTCTGCTCAAGCTCGTTTGTGCTTCTGCTCAAGCTCGTTTTGGCTTCTGCTCAAGCTCGTTTTTGCTTCTGCTCAAGCTCGTTTTGGCTTCTGCTCAAGCTCGTTTTTGCTTCTGCTCAAGCTCGTTTTTGCTTCTGCTCAAGCTCGTTTTGGCTTCTGCTCAAGCTCGTTTTGGCTGCTGCTCAAGCTCGTTTTGGCTGATGCTCAAGCTCGTTTGTGCTTCTGCTCAAGCTCGTTTTTGCTTCTGCTCAAGCTCGTTTTGGCTTCTGCTCAAGCTCGTTGTGGCTTCTGCTCAAGCTCGTTTTTGCTTCTGCTCAAGCTCGTTTTGGCTTCTGCTCAAGCTCGTTTTTGCTTCTGCTCAAGCTCGTTTTGGCTTCTGCTCAAGCTCGTTTTGGCTGCTGCTCAAGCTCGTTTTGGCTGCTGCTCAAGCTCGTTTTTGCTTCTGCTCAAGCTCGTTTGTGCTTCTGCTCAAGCTCGTTTTGGCTTCTGCTCAAGCTCGTTTTGGCTTCTGCTCAAGCTCGTTGTGGCTTCTGCTCAAGCTCGTTTGTGCTTCAAAGGCTTGCCTTGAAGTGCTCGGGCCGCATGAAGCAGAGGTTGTCTTGGAAGCGCAGGATGCCGCTGAGCGTCCCAGGCCGGCTTTTGTAGCTCCGAAGTTTGCCGAGGCGAAGTGCCTGCCAGGCTCCCATCGGCGGATTCGCACGACGACAAGGCTAAGGCGCAGGATTTCGCGACATTCCGTCTCCAAGCCAAGGCGGGCCCAGGCAGCTGGAAAAGGTCTCGAACCATCTTATGCTCCCCGCCTCTTGTCGCTGTGACCTCTGGCAAGTTTGATTCAGGAGTGCCGCCACGTCTCTCAGAGAAACGATGGCCTGAGACAGCAAATTTCGCACCGGGGAGTCTGTTTTTTGACTGCGACTGGCCTGTTGCATGTTGACGAAGGTATTGCTCAGGCGACCAATATACTTTCCCACACCTTCGATGAAAAAGATACCACATTATGGGAAGCGATTACTACGCAGTGCTGCGGGCAAGAGGCTCAAATATATCTTGCAGAGAGCATAGAAGGTGCCCACCTCCATGGCGCCGATGCCATAGGTTTGGTATTCTGCCAGTGCAAAGGAGCCAAATGCAAGCATCAGGCAGTATGCCACACCTGAGGGTCAAAGAAGACGAAGAAGATCTCTTCTCAAAAGACCAACAAGAAGCTGTAGTTTAAGCTGAGCTGCCCTGAATCCAATGCGTAATCCAAGCCGTGTCATTCATTGCATCGCGTGCATCCCAGTGAGCGGGAACGAAGGCAGCCTCAGAGGTGCGAGAACGCCGAGGCCGCTTCAATTCCGTGGCCGGGCTTCTGGCATTCTGCGACTGAACGCGCGCTTCGATCTTCGCCTTCTCGGATTGCATTAACCCCGTAAACTGCCGCCAGCTCGTGAAGACCTGCAAAAAGCGGCGAAGCCCGGAGTTGCACTTGCCGTGCTTGCCGTGGCTGGGCTGCATCCGAGGTGCCCAAACACATGATTTGAACCAGCGGCATTCTTGCTTCTTTCTCGCCAGCACGGCCACCCATATGATCTTCATCCGGATCCATACACCAAAGAAGCCAGCCACGATCATGGCCAAGACACCGGTGACGTACCATGCTGTTTGGACCCCGACGAAGGCAGAGGCCTTAGACTCAGCTTCTCCCTAAGCTGAGTGAAGCGAGCGGAAAAGAATTGGGACTAAATCAATTCCAAGCTACGCCATCCGTGGCCTGCGTCAACACACAAAGATGCAGGGTTTTCTTCTAGAGATTGCGTACCCGCGGTCCGGTACCCGCGCTTGAGAAGGCCCCAAAGGATGTGACCACTTTCAAGCGCTAGCATGGGGCCCAGCTGCGGATCGCATACAGGGAGACCGCCGCATTCAGACGGACACGACGTATACATGATGCAGGGCTGCCACCCCCCGCCCCCACCCCCCCCACTCCATGGTCTCCCGCCACCTGCGGTGTGGGGACTTGTGGTGGTACTGGTCCCGGCCCCAGTGAAGGCTTTGCCTCTTCCCCTGCGCATCCCTCGGCTTTGGTTGGCCTTGTTCGGAATTGTACCCAGCACCCCTGCCCAACCTATTTGGCCGTCCCTGGCACAATCCTCTTGTTTGGTTTCCAGGTGTTGTTTGGCTTCCCCGCCGCCAGCCCCTGCTTGGGGTGGCACCTGCATCATATATATATATATATATATATATATATATATGTAAATGACCTATATGAACACATTCGCTTCTTTGTTGTGACGAACACGTAGTCCCCTGATTAACGAGGCCCCTTACCTCAAAAAGTAACTATAATCAGGAATCTTAGAGTCAAGGCCCGTACAGGAAACGGTTTACAACCATGAGCCTTCGGGCCTTCAGTGTTAACTACAAGATTATATTGCACTCTCGGGGATACTGCATGCTAAGCTTGGTAGGGGAACTGCGGCAGGCTCTTCACAGGAGAGTTCAGGATGATTTCTGGTGCCTGTTTCATGGCTTCGTTACCCCCCCCCCCCCCTAGACGCCCCCCCCTTCAAGCGATACCTCCGAGCGTGTGGTGAGAATCGGTCGGGGCTCCGAGTGGGCGGGGTGGGGTGGGTTGGGGGATTGCGCTCCTCCAAAAGCTTTTCCAAGACTGTTCGAATCCTTATCGAGGCCTTACCGAGGCCCTACCGAGGCCTAAGGCCTTGCTCAGGCTGAGGTCTTGCAGAGGCCTTAGAGTCTAGAAGCCTAGCATCCCTAAGTTGAAAATTCACGCAGATGGTCATAGATGCTGGTACTGCCTGCAGCCTTGGCCGCATCATCTGCGCGGTCTAGACAAAAAATAGGGGCCTTACCAAGGTGCTACTGTGACACATGTCTTGCCGAGGCTTTGGCAAGCGTTTGCTAAGGCTTTCTTGGGGGGGTCTAGGGGGGGAAACAGATCCATGACACTGTTGCGTCGGGGCATTCCGTCTTCAAGATTAAGGAAACTTAGGTCTTTAGGTGCTCGTGCTTGTAATGGTTTACTTACACAACCCCAAAAGTTCGAACCCCGAAGCCCTCGAAGCCCTCTCCCAAACCTGAGGAACCTCACAACCTAGACAGCCTAAGCGACGAACCCTCGAAACCCTCACCATCACTATCGCCATACAACTCTCATAATTCAGCATTGTTATTCATGTCAGATGCTGGAAACTACTGCGCCGACAATGGCGGGCGGGGGCGGGCAGGTGCGGGTGGGGGCAGGGGCGTGGCGGGGGGCGGGCGGGATGGGCGGATACCCCCCACCCCGCAATGGTATGCCCCGCCAGGCCTCTCGTCCCAACATACAGTAATTCGTAACTGTCGACGTTCCCCACGGTATGCCCCGCCGGCAAGCCCAGCCTCTCGCGTTAGCAAATGGGGGACGTGGGAGGGATAACCCGCAACAGAAGGAACCACAGGGGCGGGGTAGGAAGGATAACCCACAACACAGGGAACCACAGGGCCCCTTGCCCTTGCCCCTCCCCTTCGACACAGATGAGAATGATGGCGATGATGTTGTGCACAATGACGTTGATGTGCTATTTCCAGCGCGGCTGTTGGTGGTACCTCTGCGTTTATGTTGCCCTGGGCTTCGGCACTGGATGTTCATTCCTATCTAGTTGAAAATCGTGCTCGGCTGGTGATGATCTTTCGAAAACTGTATGGACCGGTGTCATTCCAAGCCAAGTTTCGGTTGGGTTCGTTAAAGGTCAGCTTGAGCACGTGTTTGAGTGATTTTCATTCGGGACTCTTGAGCCTTGCAAGGGACCGGAGGAGACTGCAGATGTGGATCATGACCACCATCTTCGTCATCATCATCACCATAATATTCATCACTATCATGGGCTTTGGAGCAAGGGGGCGCAGCCAACCGCAACCACAGGGGGCAGGGGTAGGGGGGAACCCACACCACAGGGAACCACAGGGGGGGAGGGGGGATACCATGGGGCCTAGCAGCGCTGCACCATACATGCCCTTGAACTCCTATGGCTTATGGATACTCCGAGTGCTGCGTGCTGTCCTGCTCCAGGTAGCTCCACACTGCCAGTCCGGTGACTAGCAGCACCGAAAGGAGGAGGGCCTCGGAAGTTACACAGCAGTGGGCTCATAGCACTTCGGACACATCGCCAGTGCCAGCGTTGTCGCGCTAAGATCTCCACAAAGCAGCTCTGTGCGAGAACGAAGACTTGGAAATACCTCTCAAGTCGAGATGGGAAGTTGGCCAGCCGCTTGCAAAACTGAAGGTCACGCTTTGCCGGTGATGATATCGACATCGTAGATGGCTGCATAGAGCCAGTCTGCATCGGATGCCTTCAGAAGTGGGCTTCTTGATGCACAGAGATGCGATCATGGTTGGGCTGGAGGACCTCCCAGTACTCGTTGCGTTCCAGGTGCATGAACTTCCGGATCATGTCCGACCGGTGCGCCTGACCAAAAAAAGAGGCCCTCGCAGGGCCCTAGCAGCTATAGCAGCGAGCAGCACGGCCTGGCGGATGCCCCCGGTGCGGCCACGGTTCCGGGTCTGCACCACGTCGGCCCAGCGGTTCAGGCCCAGGCTCAGGAGCTGAACTAGGACCAACAACAAGCCTCAGCACAACTCCTCCTTCTTGACCCTTCAGTGAGAGGCCGAGAGGCCATGTTCCGCTGTCAAAACGAGGGCCGACACCCTACAAATCCTGCCTGAGGAGTTAACCTTGTGTTGCGGGGTGGGAGTAAGAGATGGTAGGTCAGGCAAAGAGACGATTGAATAGAGCAAAACTATCGTAAAACTGAAATTCCGATCCCTCTGAGGGCTTCGCATTCCAGATACCCCCAGGTGGAGTTCAAGCCGATTAACCGACCAATTGCATGGTCGACTAGCGTCTTTTGCACGAGGGTGGAGACCTGGGAGTACGTGGGAACACCGATGCCGGGCTCTCAGAGTTCTGCTGCGTATTGAGATCCCAACAAGCACTGAGTGCACCGGCAAGAAGACCTCAGCTCCCATGGACTGCGGCACCTTGTGCAACCTCCGTCCCCGAGGTCCCCTCCATGGCGATCATCGTCTTGGTCCACTTCTCCCCTCTCCTCGAAAAAGCTGCATGGCGATCCACCGCGTCTCTCATCGCCCTTCCTCTGTCTTTTCTTTCCCCAGGCTTGAGGGCCTCCGTGGGAGCAGCCCGACTGTAGGGACGCACGGTGTTACGTGCGAAAGACTTCTGTCCCCTCCACAGGCGGAGCTTTGTAGCTTACTTGAGAGCTTGTGGTACAACGCTTGTGGTACAACGGCTTCAGGTATCGCTCTCGCCTCCCGCCTCCCTCTCTCTTGCCCTCCTCCCTTGCTCTCCTGCTCCGGTCCGCTTTGATAAAGTACCTCATCAAGCTGATGCCCTTGCCGGTCCGCATATGAGCAGGGATGTTGGCTGGCCACGTGTCCTGCAGTCGCAGGGGGCAGGGGGTCAATGAGAGGTTTCCACAAAGTCCAACTTCCTCGTCAAAGACCCAAATCGTTGCTTTGGCTGGGGCTGCTTTTACGGCCATGGGCCCGCCCGGGCCCCGCAGGCTCCCAAGTCGAGCCTCTCCGGCACTGTCAGCACGCTCCTAGGCCCCATAAAAACACGATTCTGAGAACCTGGCCTGGAACCAATAGGAGTTCTGCCAACAGTCCTGGGCCACTCTGCCACTGCGGCCGGAGACGAATCTGTTGAAAGGCACCTGGTGGTGAACCACGGGTATCCGAAGCACTGCTTCGTTCTGGCCAGGCAGAAAAACAACCTTGAGAGCACAGTGCCGCAGTTACTGACTTCGGCATCTGGGTGTGTGCTGCACACCAGGGCTTACAACCATCAGTGGCATACGAGCAACAAATATAGACATATGTAAATTGCATATAAAAACAAACAGATGAGCAAATATATACAAAATTTACATATTATGTATATAATTACATGTATATATGAAAGTATGTATATATGCAGATATTTGTCTTGTTCATTAGAGTGTAACGGAATGCAGGTCCGTGTTTCCGCAGTGAATTACGTGTTTTTAGCGGGCCGTAGTATGCCATCTGCCATCTTTATATATTGACATGTAGTCATACCAAATTCAATCTGGATAGTGATTGACCTGTGATATGACTGCATTTTATGGGGATGGGTATTCTTCGCTACCGAAAGGTGCCTTGCACAGATGTTGACTCGCAATTCTAATCGCATATATCATATATGGACATATGATATCAAGAAACTGAAATTACATGGTAGTGACTTTCAAAAAACAAGAACGAATTTTGGATCGCTATTGACCATCCATCAAAACATGGATGCGTTCGTGCCCCCATAACAACATCAAATTGAATTCGGGCGGGTATGAAATCGCGCCATCATCCGAATTCTACTATGCCACAGCCATACAAATGAACTTGGATGGACATTGACCCATAACAAAAGACAGTATGGTATTCGCCCACAACAACGAATGAATTGTGATGACAACAGTTCAGCAACAACAACAACAACTTGGTTATGGATGGGTAGCGACCCACTGCTCTTGAATTGATATTGACATGCCCTACCAAAAAATGAATTCGGATGGGCATTGATGCACAACAGCTAAATGACTTGGATTGCGATTTATCCGCGACAGAAAGAAACGGAGTTTGGATCGGTTCTGACCTTCAGCACCAACCAGGTAACTAGGTTAATTCGGTCGATGGGCAATGAACAACAAACTACACAATAGTGGCTCAGGAGAATAATGAATTATGTTTCCCAAACAACGAACAAAACCTGAATTCACATGGGTATTGATCCTCAAGCACAACAAATTGGAATTGGATGGGCCGTTTAGCAAGAAACTCATTTCTGATAGGTACCGAATCGCAACAAAAGCAGCCGAAATCATTAATCTACATGGGTATTGACCCACAAAAACACCAATCTGATTTTTAGATGGATATTGGCCCATGATATCAACATCAACAACAGCGAAAATTTACTTGGGTATCGATTGGCAGCATGAACATGCTCACGTGGCTTTTTGGATAGATAACACTGAATCTGGACTAATGTCGACCCAGAGAAATGACAAGTTGACGTCGGATGAATATTAACCAATAAGAACGACAACTTACATTTGGCTGGGTATCCAGAACAACACAAGTAAATGTGCATGTGTATGGACCCGACATAACAAAGTCACGGAAGTCTCAATGGTGTCTGACCCACAGCAACATCAGCAAAATTGATCAGCTAGGTATCTGCCCACAATATCACACATATTGATGCACTGCATCGAAAACTAGCTGAGATGCAACAACAATAACAAATTCAGTATGGATGGATGCTGACCTATGACGACCATTTAATGAGTTTTCGCAAGTATTGACCCACAGCAACAAGCCTGAGAGGGGCTGCGGGTCCGAATATAGAAACAAATTATATCCCGTAGACCTTCACATCTGCTGTAGACACACAACGACAGGGCAAATACCACGGCACGAAGACATGACGCGAAAGCATGACACGAAGACAACTTGATTTTGGTGGCCGTGAGCACCCAACAACCATGCTTCGAAAAAACAACTGAATTTGGACCGGCACGGACCCACGACAACAGCTCAAAATCTGATGGATATGCGCCCAGCACTACAGCAAGATGAGCAAGTTCGGATGTGTATTAACACCTAACAATACCAAATTCAATTTGGAAGGGCATTGGCCCATGATGGAAATACATAGATGGGGATGGATATTCATTGCCACGAACAACAAACTAAGACAGGATGAGCAGCATCGACCCGTGATATTACTCGAAGATATTAATGGACATGTGACATATGATGCCAAGAAACTGAAACTAGATGGCAATAAAAGCGAATTTTGGATCGCTATTGACATTACATCAGAAACATTGATGCTTCCTGTCCCATAGCAGCATCAAACTGAATTCGGAGGTATCAAAGTGAACCTAAACCTGTGCTGCGCCAGAACAACAACATGAAGCTGGACGGATACTGACCCATAATAACAAAAAATTTGGATGATGCTGACCAGAAACACCCCACAATCATGCTGAATTGATATCAACACGCCGCACCCAAAACTGGATTCAGATGTGCTTACAAACAATAAGAAGAAATTTCATTTTGATGGGCATTTATCCACAAAATGGCACTTGGAGTTTGGATAGGTGGTGATCCAAACGACAAGCAAATTACAGTATTCGGACAGCAGCAACGTTGAAGTTGAACGAGCATTAGCAAACAACAGCCAAAAACAGAATTTGCTTCTATAGGAAACGTTCTTACCATGGGCATGAAGACTGCAAGGAACGAGAGCGCGCTGCTACTACGACAAGCGGGCCCGGCACTTAGCCACGACACGGGAAAACCTACCACGACAAGGCGTCGCACGCCAATGCGACAAGCTTGTGCCCTCCTTGAGACACAAGCTTCAGAGAGCTAGGAGCGATCACAACATGTGCATCATCGTAATCGCGGTAGTTCTCGACCGGAATGCCAAGCGCACTCCGCACTTCTTGGCTTCTGTGCCGGAAGACAGTAAAGGAAAGACGAAAAGGCGAAGAGGAGGAGAGGCGAGGAGAGCGGCGAGGAGAAAGAGAGGGTTCAGGGCACCAGGCTCTAGAAGCAGAAAACCAAAAGGGTACAGCTGCAAAAAACAGTTTCAGGTTGCCAAGATAAGACTGGAGAATAAAGGAAATGCGAGGCGAAAGGAGAGGGAGAGAGTTTAGGGCATAAGGTGTTAGAAGCAGAACAAAACCAAGAAGGGAACTTGCAATAAAACAGCTTCAGGGAGCCAAAACTGAATTCCGGAGCAGACGAGTCTCATAGGAGAGTAAAGGAGAGAAGGAAATGCGAGGAGGAGGGAGGGGCGAGGAGAGAGAGAGAGAGAGAGGGTTTAGAGCATCAGGTTTTAAAAGCAGAACCCGCGACAGCACGGCCATGAGTAGGAGGCCTGCAGGACTACTGCCGAGCTTGTATTCTGCAGGGCAAAAAGTTGCGCTGCCAGGTGCATCTGCTGACTGTGAGTGGCATGACTTTTTCGGAGACGCCAGGCGCCACACCTCTTCGAGACAGAACTCCATTTGGGTGGAAAGTGTCAAGCTGGCTTCCACGTATCTGACAATGACATCTTCTGACGACCTTCAGGCAGAGCGTCCAGCGGGACTTTGCGCTGCAATTCGATTGGCACTTGCCCTGCCCGACGTAATGCAAACCGACCTCGAACTGCTTGAGCTCACCAACCCTTCTCCTGGGAGAAGCTCCATCGCACACCGGAGGTCGCTTTGACGGTGCAGGCAGAGCCTGCCAGCATCGCAGCGTGCTGCTCGACACAACATAACTGCTCCTGACTGAACCTATTGAATTGTTTTACGGCAACCCTGTACAGCAAAGTTTCTTGCCAAACACTCATTTTTGAAAGCAAGGATTAACAGACATTGTCTACGGCCTTGCTATGGATGCTCTCGGCTGACAAACCGAAAAGGCTATGGACATCACTTCTCAGAACGGACGAAACCATGGACGTCGTGCTGATTGGGCCATGGATGCCCTCTGCTCAAAGCCGAACGTCATTTCTCAAAATGCATCATGGTACAATCTTGTATGCTCATGTCTTGGAACGGGTTAGACCATGAATGTTGTCATGGTTGTCGCAGTTCAAAATTCGTTTGCCATGGACGCCCCTTTGTCAAAGCGAGTTAGACCGTGGACGTCATCATGGTTGGGTCATGGATGCTCTTTTCTTTGAAGGGATAAGACCATGGACATCGTCGTGGTTGGGTCACGGTTGCTGTTTGCTCAGAATGGTTAAGACCATGACGTCATGGCTGGACCATGGATGCTCGCCCGTCAGAAAGAATGAGACCACAGACAAGACCAGGAAACCGTGGACGTCATCATGGTTGGATCATGAAGGCTCTTCTGTTTGAACGGATAAGATTAGGGACATCCTCATGATGCTTGGGCCATGCATGCTCATGCTCTCTTCTCAGGACGGATAAAACCATGACAGAAGCCTTCCTAAATTGGTGTGCAAGTGGTACTGGCCGGAATGCCCAAGTCTGCACAGTGGAACATGTAATGGAGGCTGGAGACCTCTTGAGGCTATGGCTTGCGTGACAGCTAGTCTTTTTCCCCATGCCTCGAACACTCGTAACTGCGGAAGACCAGGATGCGTGTGACGCAGCCAAGCCTGCAAGCTTGCGTGCCCCGGGTCCTGAAGAAAATAGGTGTGATCCTGACACATTAAGCAAACCTATCTCTTCCAAGTTTTGCGCCACCTCACTCTCTCTCGCTTCAGCCACATCGCCCAAGCGTGGTAGCCATTCAGCTGTTCGGTTCCGTGCCGATCGCATAGACGGACCCTCCACTGTTCGCCACGAGTGGTTCATGCGGTAGAACATTTCCATCTCGTGCCCGCCGTTCAGCTTCGTCAGCGAGTTCGCCAGCTGCGCCCTGGAGTGAACCCTGGCTGCTTTCGTTGTTATGTGTCTTTGACGCTCAGAAGTTCTATGTTCGATTTGCGTTCAGCTCGTTTGGTAGTGAGGACTTCAGTATTCAGCTTATCGTACACATTACGACTATCCGTAGTCAGGGTACCAGGGCCTCTCTAACATTCCAACCCGGATCCCTCACATCACAGCAGGATCCCCAAAACAGATTTCGTTCCATTGATGTCTCGCAAAATAAAGAGGATCTTCTCCATTGATGGCAGCTTGGGACTCAGAAGCGCCAGGCCTGCGACATGCCCTGTCGATTTTATTTGAATGCCATCCCATCAATGACACCTGTCCATCCTGAAACAGCTAAGCCAATGAGTATCCCTTGCCGCCGCCTCCATCAGGCCGGCTTTGCGACCCCACATCAACGCATGCAAACATGCCAGGCCCTTCAGAACTGTTGAATGCATGAAGGATCATAGCATGATGTTTCCGGGACTCCACTCGGTGTAACAACTTGTTGGCACTCCCAATCAAAGCCACAGTACCTCGACTGACGTCGGAGAGAATGAGACTCACACCAGTTGACAAATCTGATGCAACCTGCTGTGCGCGCCGGCTGAATGCACTCAGCAGCCCTCTTAGTTGAGAGGTGTCCTGAGCAGTAGTCGTCCTGTCTTGCTTTCTGCGACTTCTGTTGACCGCGATCTCAGGGATTCCCTCAGCGTAGTTCGGTTGTGACAGTTTGAACTGACGGTTTCCCCCGGTCACTTGCACCCCACATTGCACAAAATTGTTTTTGTCCCAGTCTCCCAACTTGAACCTTTCCCGGATGCTTTGAATATACCAGGCCTTTTTCGTGCGGACGACAGTGCCACCTTCGAGAGCCATCGCGTGACAGATTTCGTCACATGGGACGCGAAGCAAGGTCTCTCAATATTCGCGGCCTTGTGCAAAGGCCCCTGACACGTCCCCTTTGTAGACATCCCAGTCTTTGTTCAAGGCAAGCTGTAAAAGCATCTGGCCTGTCAGTCTCGTCATTACGGGATTCGTTGTTGCCCGATGGGCGTATGCCGCGTCTCGGTAGCCCAGCAGAATTGCCTTTGCCTTCGCTTTGTGTGTCCCATCATCCTTGGCTTTCCACGTCAGCCACCTCATCCCCATTGCCTGGCTTTTGTCTGGCCGCATTCCTGGGGGTCGCGCTTCAACAGCCTTGGATGCCACGAAGTTCTTCACCTCCACGGCTTTTATTTGCCTCCCGGCAGCTTTGGTGGTCCCCTATTGAGAGCCGCTTCGCTGACACTTCAACGGCCTTCCTTTTCAAAGCACTTGCGAAGTAGCCACACGGGTTCCTTGAGGCCAAATCTAGTCCTCGCCGAATGGTGGGCATATCAATCACTATCTCCACTGCTGTGATCTTTTCAACCCAGTAACCGCAACGTGTTCTCTAAAGTGAGCTGAAAGAAGGACAGCCGTTGGGGGGTTTGTTCAGTCCTGGGTTGTTGGGACCCACTAGGTCCTGATCAGATAGTGTCCGATTCTCCACGTCCACATCCTCTTTTTGTCGGTGGCCGCCTCAAGCTTGCCACGCTTGCCTCTCACCTGAAGGGGGCGGCGAATGTCCGGGGCTGTACTTCCTGCTCCGGTTGTTGAACCCGTGGCCACCAAGCATCCTGTGAAACTTCTCCCGAAATATCTTCAAATCTGTTCCCACCACAATCTCTTCACCTACTCTCTGAAATGTCCACGGCATTCCACCCTGTTAAAAGATCGGGAAGCCATCCAAAAGTTCAAGATTTCTGATTTCGACGTTTTTATACGTTTTTCCTTTCTAGATACTAGAAGTTCAACACGTTTTATATACTGAACAATTCAAAATGCTGCTAATTTAAACAGGAAACAGGAAAAGTGTTGGTTCTCGAAATATTGAATTTTTGAATACAAAATTCAACATTTCCAGAATTATGTTTGAAACTTGACAGGACCTTGGAACTACAAATTCTTGAATTCAATAATTCATTAGTTCAAAGTTTGTTTCCGTTTAAAAAGGAAAAAAAATTGAATTGTTGAGTACAAGAATTCTGAAATTCAACATTTTTAACTGTTCAAAAAATTGCAATTTCCTGAGACCTTGGAACTCCAATTCTTTGATTCAATAATGATAATTCAAGAAGCATTCTTGAAATCTTGGTTTTTGAATTCAACAGTTCTAGTTTAAAGGAAAATCTTGATTTCTTGAAATTTTGAGTTATCGAAACTAACATCTCAAGATTAGTTTAGACATTCCTGTGGACTTGGAATTCCAATTTTTGAATTGCATTAAGGTATATACCCCAAACAGACCCTAAAGATCCTACGTATATATATATATATATACATATGCCTATAGCCTATAATGCGGTAACAGAAATACTCTACCATGGTAGATCCTCACACAGTGACACAGCACCACGACGACCACGACCACCAGGAGACTAGCTGAGAACACGCAGGACCACCATCCGCACTACTGGCGGGAGCCAGCATACTACCTCTCCGCAATGCTGTCCCGCACCAGACGGTTTGGAGTGTACGACCAAAAATGCTATGTGTGAATCATAGGCGCCATGCACCGCACTATCCGCACTGACACTGACCAGTTCTCTTTGCAGTGGGGGCATAAGCTTTGAAACCGGCAGCGGCGTGGCTCTGAGGATAAAAGTCCTTGTCCGCCTTTGCGCCACCCTCGCTGGCTTCCACCACAACTTCCACTTCCAAGCCAGATTCCTGCCTGCATGCAGTTCATTTGGTCTGTCTTACTGGCCTATACTGTGCGCCATGTTCGAGCCTCTGTCTCTGTGTAGCATGGTTGGAAAAATCGAACCCTTTCCCTTGCCCTGGGAAGCCTGGAGCGTCGCAGAAACACCACCGCTTCTTTGGAATGCTGGAAGCAGGGGAAGCTGTGGTGTGCGAAGCTTACAAAGCTCGCCTTGCCAGGGCGACAGGCGACGGCGACAAGAAGGGAAGATCCCCCACACCGTGGATCCCACACCGCGGCCTCCTCCTGGAGCCCGCCGGTCCCGGTCTCAGCTTGCCTGGAGACGGCGTCCGAGTCTGGCGGCCTTCGCCACTGGCGAGCTTCGGTCACCTCAGGGAGACGAGCGCAGCAGAGCGGTGTTTTTGCGGTGCGGTGCGCAAGCTCTCTGCATGCTCCAAAAAAACGTGCGCAGGGCCCCGGGGCCCCGGGCCCAGCGATCCGCGCGCTTCCAGAACTCGCTGGCTCGTCGCAGGGATTTCTCTGCCAAGCCTTCCCAGTCCTGACGCGGAAAGCGGCGGCCGGGCTCAGCGGGGCTCAGCGGGGCCCGGCGGGGGGGCCCAAGCGTGCCCACGTGCCCCAGGGTGCCTTCAAGGAGACCTGGGCCTGGGATGCTGACATCCTTCGTGGACTTGCGCTCCCGCTCGCTGGGCTGACTGGACTGTCCTGCAAAATTTAACTTCGAAGCAGCCTTTGCACCGCTCTGCACATGCGCAGATCCGCAGATGTGCACAGTGCGTCCCCGAGGTTCTTCCGCAGCTTCAGCTCCACATCGCTTCGCCAAACTGCCCCATTCTTGTTCAAAATCCGCCGCCATTCTTTCACACCTCGCATCGTGTAAGGCCCAAGCTGATGTCACATAGTGATCGCTGCCAATTGTCCACCGAAAGGCTTAATGTAGTCGACAAGCAAGCATTCTCCAGAAGTGTCATCGTCCCAACCTCAAAGAGTGCAACACACAGACTCACTGCAGAAGACCGGTTAGCACAACTTGCGGCAAGTAGTCACCGGAACTTCGGGCGAAACTGAAGTCCGAAGAGTCCACGACTACACTTCTAATGGCAGCGGTGATGTGCTGTTTCAACATCCGGGAGATGAGCTCGTCACACCCTCAATTTGAGATGCTGTGGTTGTGCTCTCAATCTGTATGCTCTTGCGCGAGCATCGGATGTCCTTCAGTTGTGCTGGCGATAACACCCAGTGGCCTGCCGCCTGCTCTTGGGTTCTGGCTTAATCCGTTACTACTCTAAGGGCAGGGATGTCCTTGGTCCTGTGCAGCTGTCGCACAGAATCACGAGCTTCGTCTGCCGGTATCTGGGATGTTTGTGTCTGCTTGTCCTGGACATCGTGCATGCCCCACCCCGCCCACCGTCTAAGCCAAGGGCGGCAAGGAGCAGCAAGGCAGCCAACGACGGAAACGGATACCAAGAGTTTAATGTGTCAGCATAAAAGGGAACTTCTCGAGGCTTTGCCCAGGTGGACCACTCTGCCTGACATGTGGCGGGTACTCTGACAACTGTAGGATCTACGAGCTTGCCACTTGCCTCGTTGTCGAGGATCCAACTGCAAGCGACACGGACGACGTCCTCTCAGAGGCTCGGCTTCGCCACCCTTGATCAGGGTTGAAGGATACGAGTGGGGCTGGGGTGGTAAGGGCGGTGTCCTGGTCACTGGGCCGTTCCTCGCCCGGGCCCAGCAGGGCGCCGAGCAGCTCTTCCATCCCAGCGCCCTCCAAGCTTTGGTTTTGGCCCAGGCCCCGGTGGCCTCGAGCAGAGAAGGCACCGCCAAAACACACCTCTTGCATCCTCTTGCTTCTTTTTCTTTTGCCACAGCAGCAAGTCGGAGTCTAGACCCATTGACAGTTCCAAGATGACACAACGTTGTTCTTTCAGACAACGAGATTCCGCGAGTACCAGTGGGTTCTGTACTTCGGTCTGCAGACTTTACTGGCCTGAGCCCTGGCGCTGCCGCAAAGCGAACTGACTGAAGAAGTTCATGGCGACCGAATCGGCATTGGCGTCCATGGACAAGAACTTTCGCATTTCTTGCTCCGGGAAGTCACAGGACCAGTGCGGGGCATCGAGACCGTCGGAGACGCATTGATCCCTGAGTTACTGGCTTGTGATTGTGAGCAAGGACTTGACAAGAACACTTAAGTAAAGTGAGTTGCGCCTGGGCAGGGTCAGCCGCAGAACAGGTATCTGCGGCAGTAGAAATAGACGAAAAACAACAGCCATGACGCCATGCCGTGACATTGTCTGAAGTTGGACATGCCGCAACCCACACACAAACACACACAACACTGCGCGTGCTCAACATGTCCAGGAAGATACCGAGGGATGAACATGACACCGCCAACTTCTTCAAGCACAGTCAGTGGGAAATGCTGACAGAACCATGGACTCGGTCTCGCAGGCGAGATAAGTTTGAGGATGCCGGGGATGGTGCCGATGTCATAAGGACCCTTAGGCATAAGGCGGTAACTGGCAGAGGTATGCGCTTAACATCCCCAGCCAGCAGCTGATACCTGTAAAGGCGTAGCGAGGCCTCCCCTAAAGCTCCTTATGATGTGGAGTCGTACCTTGAAGCCTTCCTTGGAAAAGACTGCGCGGGTCAACGGGTCACCGACTCAAAACAGCGCTGGGACCTGCAGCAGCCGCAGGCCTCAAATTTGGACGGAAGTGACGTGTTGCGAACTTCGTGGCACATGTTAGGCACAAATGCGCGCGATCTGAGACAAAGGGCGCGTATAGAGCTGCGAGGGATGCCACCTCAAAGTCCAGCCGCCACTGGCTTCAGCGAATGTGCCAGTATGCCGCATGCTGCTGAGCGGCATGTGCACGATGGCAGGAGCACCGGTCGACAGCGCCTCGCCACTCGTGTCAATTCGTGTTGCGTGTGCCCCATGTGCCACAATCTACGAGTCCCACTGCATTCCCACGGGTCCGGCCCATCCCGGCCTCCATGGCAAGCTGTGCGTAGCGGCGTGGGCGGAGATAGCGGAGTCCAAATCGAAAGCCATGACTCTGTGCAATCTCCTGCTGTGCACAAGGCGTGCACAAGGCGCAAAAGGCGCGAAAGACCCCAGTCCTCGTTGAAGCCTTCGTCTACGCCCGGCATTGCAAGCACAGCTGGGAGCACCTGACCTGTGGATGTGGAAAGCCGCTGTCGACTGCTCTCGTGAGCGGTTTCCTGACCTCCGTGACCACTGGGACACCAATGCACTTCGTCGCAAGCAATGCAACTCCGAGCGCAGTCTGCGCAGCAGCAACGCGAAGAACAACTCACGTTGGATGTGTTGCGAAGAGCCTCAGAAAGCGCACAAACACAACAAGCATTGCTATGCTGCAAGAGCTGAAGCCAAGAAGCTTCCCATAGGGGCAGGTTGCCAGGATGACGGACGTCGTAGGCACGGTAGAATTCGGGTGGAAGCGCGTAGCTCTCATTGCGACCGAAGCCTTCGGAGACCCACCAGCCTCAAATCGATTTGCAGATGAGGACTACTGAGGGGTAGCACGACCTTTCGACGAGGTTAATTCAGTCTTTGTGGCCGCTGTAGCCGTGATAGCCTGCCAACATTAACATTGAGAGAGTGCAGGCGAAGCGCGTGGCGGCGCCCCAAGATTGAGACCCCGGCCTATCGCGCCAGCATCGATCATGGCCACACTCCTCAGCTGCACATGTACAGCGCATGCCTCTCTGCCTTGTGTGGGATGACACACCTTCATGAATCCGAGCAGCGGAGATGCTTCGATTCTGGTGTTCCAAACTTCCATGTTCGCATACCCAAAGCTTTCGCCTGCACAGACATGCACCTGCAACAGCCTGCAAGCATCTTTGGGATCGCAAGGATCATTTGCGGTGTCCCTGCATGTCCTCGTCGCAGGAGAGCATGTGCCACCTCCTCCTCTTGATATACCTTCTGTAGCCGCTCGTAGAGGCCCCGTGGGTTCTCTGTCGGATTGAAGGCCACTCGGTACCTGGGACTCCGGGACTCCGGGACTGTGACACCGCACATCACTGTCGGCTGTCGAGTGGCCCAATCAGATCTCTGAGAAGTATCGCCGTGATGGTCGTGGCCTGGGGGCTGTTTCGCGGCGGCTGAAAGAGAAGGCGAGAAGGGCCAAGGTGCGAGTCGGTGCGAGCTCCAGGGATGCACTTCCAGCACCTCAGCGTAGCGGGCCGCGAGTAGCGGGCCGCGTCCGCGGGCCGCCACCGGCTCGCTGCGTCTCGGCGCTCGCTTCGTCTCGGCTCCCGGCCCAGCGTCGGCCCAAAGACTCGAAGATGGGCCTTCGCTCCGGTAGGCAGCGGCCGGCATCGAAGGCCTCAGATGGCATTCCATAGCCTTGCTGATGGCGCGAACTTGTCTGCAGTTTTCGACTTCGAAGTCGGACCTTCAAACTTTCACGGATATCAATTCTGCACAAAGAAACGACTTGCATTTCCTGTTGCTAGAAAAGGCCATCTGTCCAATGGAAAAGGCAGAGCAAGACCATGCGCTGTCAGAAGACAAGCTGGGATACTGCAGGAACAGCAAAGTTGCGCAGGTGCGGAAACCTTTACCTTTGTGATCCAGCCAGATTCTAGTGGTCGTTCGGGTCTGTTAGTGCCAGCGTGATGCCCAACCTCGTGAAAACCGCATATACAGAGGACCACTCGATCACCCAAAGAAACGCGCGGCATCTGTCCCTTGTCTTCACATGGCATTGGTTGGCGTCTTTAGAGTCGATCACGAAGTCGGAGACACGCCCGTGCACACACCGCGCCAAGAGTGTTTGTGCGAGACGACGGCGGGCACTGCCCGGGCATCGGCAATGCGTTGAGCCGAGAACTCAGTCGAGCCTCCTTTGAAGGATCGAGGAATGAAACTGCCGCCGCTTCGGAACGCTTTAGGAAGCTCGAGAGTGCTGCCCCGGCTGCGAGTCAGGAACCGGAGGGAATAGCCTTTAGGAGCACCGTGGAACCGCTTTGGGAACTCGTCTGGGCCTCCGAGCTTCGCGGCTTCGGCGGCAGTCGAAAGCTTCATGGGCGCGTGCCACCGTGCCGCAACGCTGACGCGAACCGCAGCAGAGCTCGGATCGGATTCCTCGTCCAAGTGGAAGAGCACATTTTCGATGTCTGCCAAAGTAGCGTTTGGATATGCAATGACATGAACGACGGCCTCTCATTGTCGTTGCGAACATGCTCAATTTTCGGCGAGCCACAGCTTGCAGGCCGCCGTCGCTGGAGAAGGACATGGTGCGAAGTTGGCCGCATGGTCCCCAGCCCTTTCAGTGCGAAGAACAACTTGTCAAGATTTGCCAAGTATTGGTCGATATGACATGATATGAACTTCACGCATCGCGCAAGCAAGCCCGGACCGGTCTTCGGTCTCTACCTGGCTGCTTGATCCGAATTCCTTTTGAACAGCATCCCACGGCCTGCAAAACACTGCATTGGATGCCCTCATCATCGCGCAAGTCAGGTGGCGTACGCAGAGCTTGCTCTCTGTCTCTCTTTCCCTCTCCCTCTCCCTGCACCCTTCAAAGTGTCCTCGCCGATGAAAGAACCGTGACCACGAGCTCTGATTCGCGTTTAGCTTCGTAAAAGTGTCGACGCACCCGGTAGCCGAAGCAACAGCTAAGTAGCTTCGGACAGCGCCCCGGAAGCAGCTCCGTCGGGATGCCGAGTTGTTTCAACCTTGTTGAAAAGCTTAAACCGGGTCTGCTTAACAGCTGAAGCCTTGGATTTTGGTAGAATTCGACATATATACATCTACCGATATTCCATACCGAAGCAGGGAAATGCTACGGTGAGCAGGCAGTTATCCTGTGCAATCCGGAACCGCTCTGTATCGACATGTGGTATTATTGGTTCCCGCACTCGGAGAATACTTCAGTCACCTTGAGCCCATGTATGCGAAGGAACATTTCCCGGTTGCGCGGCATCGTCCCGGCATCTAATCGAAGCTTCTAGACTTATAGACTCTGACTCGACAACGTTGCCGTATGCCAGCAACAGAAGCACAAAGGGCAAGGGGGCGCAATAACCCTGACATGGAGATTATCTCCACAGGGAGGGCGATGCAACAATCACATCAGACCGAATCTCCAACCATAGAGAAGATGAGCTGGAGCACGCTTTCACAACCTTGAATCTTGAACGAAGAGGAACAATAAGGGGTTGAGCAATCGACAGGCAGGCGGGCATCAACGCGCTTCTCATATACAGGCGGTACCACAGCAATGCTTTCTCGCTGGTTCCCTGCGATACAGATGTTCGACGATTTTGTCCACTTGGCAGTGGTGAAAGTGTCAGCCATGACAGTGAGGGTTTGAGTCTGTTGCCTATATATGCTTCTCTTCTTACTAACTCTCTGCATGTGTGACACTGGAAGGGCTTCAAGAAGGCATTGCCGTCTGGTGCGCCAAGAGGGGTCCATCTGATACATATGAATCATATGAGCATTCGTATACGTGCCCGCGTAGAGCGTCCACTAGGCACACGTCATTGTGCTCCTCACCCAAGCAAAAGGGTTAGCTTCCCTTTGTTACTGACCGGTCGGGGTCGACAGTTGCGCAGCCGAATCACCACGCTGAGCTTCCTGTACGTGGGACGTGTGTGCATGCTCTGCGACATAAGCACCGGGCCTGACCGCTGATACGATTGCAACCGCGTGCCCTTGTGACATCTTGCAGACCCGGTCTAGGCTATCGCACCCACAGTTTCACAGTTTCAGCTGCTGAACAGAGCCAGTTCCAGCCACACCCCCTAAAAACTCCGCCGCCTCCCACCCCGCTTTCTCTTTGCATCGTGAAGTTGGGCTCGCATGATCTGAAACAAGGCGACGCCGCAGTCTTAAGCATGTGTGCCACCACGCCGCAGAGCAGAGTGTGTAATGATTCATGCAGCACGACCGTGTCCGCCACTGCAAGTGTAAGGAATCTTGTAAGGAACACCATGCACAAGCAGTTCGTGTGCACCAGAACATTTCGGCTCTCAAACTGCGCCCTCTTCGTACATGTACACGTATTGCCATAGAACGTGAACGTGTCAGCGAGACCGACTTCGGCTTCGGCGGGCCCGGCGGGCCTCGGGCACGGGGCATTTGCTGAGCCTTGCAGACAAAATCCGCTTGGGTTTGCACATCCTTCCTTTGGCGCTCCGGCTTCGGCGGCAGCTGGCAGTCAGAGAATTCTGAATTCTCTCTTGCGCTGTCACCGCACGTCACTGCTGTCTGCCGTCTCGGCATCCACCTTCCGGCTCCCGTCGGAATCCGAATCTTCCACTTCCTGTCAGCGTTTAAAACGCGCTCTAGGACGCGCTCTTTTCGAAGAGAGAGCCCCCACCAAGACGCCGTCTTTCGTGTGGGAAAGAGGAAGAGGCTCTCCCGACTCCTCCAGGGGCCCAGGCTCGGAGCTTCGGAGCAGTCAAAAGCGCGCGAAGCGAAGCTGAGCTCGTCTGTCCTCTTCTTCTTGCCTTTCCCCTCTCTGCCTCTTCAGCATCCTGATTTTCCCAGCTGCCCAGCGGCTGGCCAGAGGGGAAGACTGCGCGACTGCCGCTTGGGCCGGTGCTGCAAGCGATTCTTCACCAGCAAAGTCCGCAGACTCCGCATCCGCGAGGACGACGTCCCGCTGCCGACGGTCGGCCCGGGACTCGACCTCCGAGAAAGTCTCCACTGAGACTGAGAGACTGAGAGACTCTGATTCTGAGAGTTTTTGGGAGAAACTTGGAACCCGTGGACTCGCGGGGTGCTCGCTAACCCAAGCCTCTCTTTCGGATCCTCACCGCTCTTGGACGCCTCAGACGTGAGGCAGTGAGTGCCAGGCAGTGCCAGGCCGTGCCAGGCAGCGGGGGACAAAGGCCGGGCCCCAAGCCAGCTTCCGCTGTACCTCCCAGCGGAAGCCACAAATCGAAACGGTTCCGAGGCTACGACTGGCTACGTTGGCCTTGGCTTGGAGCTGCAAACGCTGCAGCTCCTGGCGCTTCACCTGCACCAGCCTCAGAGACGTCAGAGTTTCCTCCCAAGACGCCACACGCGTATGCCGCCGTGCCTGGCCAGGGACTCCGACTCCTGGGCCTCGTGGCAAAGAGAACTGCTTTTGCATCTCCAGCTTCAAGTGCAGTCGCATGCGTCGCATGCGCGCACGTGTGAGTGTCGTCCGCGCCGGAGCCATGGACACAGCGACACGGACTGTGAAGCCAGGCGATGCCGCTATGAACAGGCCGTCACTGCACTCTCTCTTCGCCTCAGGGAGCTCTTTTCCATTCTCCGTGTCCTCGAAATCCGGGCACAGGGCGGTGCAGGGACTACTATGAAATTTTCGGCGGCCTTCTCAGGTCGCAAGTCGACCTGACAGCTGCGGCACGTGCAAGGGCCCAAAGGGCTGAGGCAGACCTTTGCCGAGCGCTGTCGCTATCTTTTTGCTCCGGTGGCGACCCTTCTAGCCGGAAGCTTTTCACTTCCAATCCTCACACAGGCAGTCCACGGAGGACAGCACCTGAGATCAGCCATGCCCTCCCTCCCGTCCCCGTCCCTTCCTGGGTCGCCGACCACCGTGGAACGCAAACAACGAAGAGGCCTGTTGCTCGGAACATCTCAGAGTCTGCAACGAGTTGTGCAGCTGTGCCTCTTCTCTAGGGGCGATCCCCTCTCCATAAACTCCTGTACAACAGATAACGAATCCTCAGTGCACGTCAGCATGTGACAGCGTCTTAGAACTTCCTCCACGGGCTCAGCCGATTGTTTGCGACCGGTGATGACCGGCGAAAGCCTGCAAGTGTTGTGTGCAAGTGACATGGCATCGTGGCAAATCGCTTCGGCTGCAAGATATCGGCTCCCCTTCTCAAGTCTCTTTCCGGCCAGCTTCCAGACCCTGGGTGGTCCGGACGAAAAGCGAGGTCGAAGGCGGCTGCATGAAACATAAATCAAATAAGAAGTGAGTGGCGATGCTCGCTAAACAGCTCATCGTTATGTTTCGGCAGCTGCTCGCGGAGCCGTGGGGCGGGCCGTGGGCCGGCGGAGGCGTGGGCGCACTTTCGGTTTTGAGCGCAGCCCAAAAAGGGTCCAAAAACAACTGCGGCACTTGCCCTGAATTCTGCGTCCTGCAGGAGGAAGTTTCTGCGCTTAGATGTCCGACTCTCCTGCGGCAATCATGTGGACGTTGCAAAGTCCTCACATCGTGCTAACATCGTTCCCACACTGTCGAACGCACATCCGAGATGGTAGTCTCACTCTGACAAAACGAGCAATTCCACGACTCTTCCTTGTCCCAACCTGTCTTTGGATCCTGACGATGCTCTCTGCGCAGCTGAGACTCTGCAGCATGCTGGCGCACGACCCCTGCCTTATAAGGAATCTGTGGTGGCATATCTTCCTTGTTCGGAGAAAAATTTGCAATGTCCTGGCAGATTGGCCATCTGAGGAACTCGGGACTGGGTTCTAACATGACAGGTCCTTCTTGCCCTTCACCATCGGAATGTGCGGCGCGGTCATCATGAAGTTGGCGCAATCCTCCCAGTTAAAGCCATTGAACCATGCCTGGCAAAAGCAAGACAAACGACCATTGGAAAAGAGCAAGCAAGCACACGTTGTCGGAGGCCCCATGAACCAACGTTCGCAGCAAGTCGATTGTACAAGTACTCTTGCAAAATCTCGTAGACAGCACATACGAGGCATCCACGAATCCACATCCACAGGATTGAACCGATTTTGGAGCTGAAGTGATGCGGAGGGTCTTCAACCCTGCGCGGCTGGGTTCCTCTTGTAAGATGCGCGCTTCACTGCTTCATGTCTGATGACCTAAAGACCTCAGCATCGTCGCGGAGCTGATTATGTGTGGCCCAAAGAGAATGGACACGAACGGCTCATGGGTCCGGCTTCACGTTTTGAACACCAACTCACGTGGAACATTCAAGTGGCTTGTGTTTATCTGCTTCTTTCACGGTCGAAGCCTAGCTTACGGCCCACAAAGCCGGCCAATGCACGCACCAGAATGGTGATTTGCACAACGACAGCCCCTCGAAGAGAAGCTTCTTCTGTCTCCCCTCCAGGGCCTGCGTCTTGATGTTCTGTGTGCCTCCTTTCTTCATCGGCAATCGCTCGCCTGCCAAAGCAAGGCCTAACTCTATCAAGCATGGAGCAAATTCTGAGGGCCGTGCTAGGAGATGCGTTGCAAAGTCCCTTGACAAGGGCTTCGATGTTGCCTTTGAGCTTCTTCGGAAAAATGACCTTGTTGATCCCTTTCTGGACCTTCAGGAATTCAAGAGAAAGAGAGAGGGAGAGAAAGAGAGAGAGAGAGAGAGAGAGCGAGAGCGAGAGCAGCGAGAGAGCAAGGGAGAGTGAGTGAGAGAGCGACACATGGGAGGGTGTTCGTCTATGGCATAAGGGGCTGGACAGACACAAGAAGGAGCTGACGCGGCACGTCGATACGCTTTAGCAATGGCATCATGATGATATACATGAATTTGAATGCCACATTGCCCCCGCATTGGAGGTCATCGTGTTGTTGCAACCACCCCTCCTTTTGTGATGCCAAACCCTTAAGCCTTAGGAGTCGCACAAGTGGTGCAAGCATGTCAATGTGCAAGGTGCCCGGTGCTGCTGTTTGCATGATATGCCCTCTTGTGTACATGCAAGGGTCACCTGTTCTGCTCGCCCATTCTCTTGACATGTCGCGAGCGCTCTAGATGTTGCGGCATGTTACATCACATACTTGCTTGTGCAGAATCCGAAATTTTCATGCGTTTGCCATGAGTTTGTGGAGTGTCAATACAGCCGGGGACGTGTTGCTTCCTAGCCACGAGTCGAAGTGGTAGTGGAACCCTCTGCGGGTTCTGCTTCCGTCCCTTTCCGAACGACGGAGAACGCGACCAAATTGGATGGTTGTGGGGAAGACCTCACAGGGCACATGATGCCAGCGCTACCCCAAGAGTTTCTGTTTGCGCAATTCATGTCCCAGGTAGAGCCTGCTAGTGCTGTGGTGCTGTGGTGCTGCCTCCTCCGCGGAGCTTCGGCTCCCGACTTTCTCACGTACGGTCCCAGCCACGGGTTCGGCCCCTCCGTCGACCAGGAGCTAGGGGTGTTCAGTCCTTTGCTGCCTGCTTGCCCAGCTGGCTGCGACTTGTATCGCCCGCACTTGTCGCAAAGTCCGAAGCCACAGCAAGTCTCCCCGAGCTAGGCTGCACTTGAGTCATTGAGGGCAGGCGAGCAAAGAACAAGAAGGTCAAACATCAGATGACAGCAGAGGCTGAGACAACGGTCGTAAAACAAGATGCAAGTACACGCTCAGAAGAAGCACCGACAAGGTTGAACAAGGAAGCGGTTCCTGTTGATGCAGTCGACTGCAATCGATCAGACATCCATCCCTGGCAACAGGACACGGGACGAGAATGACATGTAGCAACTCCGGAAAAAAGAAATCTCAAGAGCAAGTCTAGCAAGTCAGCAAGAGAGTGAAGATGTGTGGAGAGGCTGCGCTGCCTTGGCATAGATCTGCATTGGCGTGGCGGACTCGAAGGGTGGATGACCCGAGCAGAGCTCGAAGGTCAAGATTCCGAGTGTCCACCAGTCCACCTCACGCATCGGCCGAAGAAAACAGAAATCGCACCATTCTGAACTGCAGCACTGCATGGCACTGCGGTGCAGCTCTGAGAGCCGTTCTGCCAAGGTGTGGCCTGCACTGCGCTTCAACTCGGCCGATGTGCATTTCAAATCTTGCAGAGGCCTTTGGATGCGATAAGCTCCGGAGCGAAATAGTCCTGACAAGATGTCGCCAAGAGCTTCGTTGCTTGCAGGGCCAAAAGGTTCTTGGCCAGGTGGCAGGAGTGCCACAAGTTGTGAAGGTCTTACCAGGCACCACCTGACAGCAGATCGCTGACAGAGGCGGTCGCGCAGACTCGCAGAGCCAGCTTACATTCCAGGCACCTTTGCGAGGCCCATGTCTGTGAGCTTCACGTGGCCCTTGTCATTGAGCAGGAGGTTCTCCTAGGAGTCCGCGGGCAGTATCGGGCAGTCTCCGTCTCTCTCTTCTTGGGGCTGGCGCTGGCTTGAGGTCCCGGAAGATGATCTTCTTGCTGTGCAGGTGCTCGAAGGCGAAGACAGTGCCGGCCACGTAGAACTTCCCGCACTTTTCCTGCAGAGGTAGCGGCTAGCGAGCACTTCACTTCTTCGCCACACTAAGGCCGGGTCATTTCCCCAGAAGTTTTTCTTGTTGTAGGTGGCATAGAGCTCGCCGCCCAAGGCCAGTTCCAGCAAAAAGTACAAAGACTGGTCATAGTTAAACGTCTCCTCAAGAGTCAGAAAGCAACGACAGCGCCCTAGTCACGAATAGTTCTGCACTGCAGCAACTGGGTGGGGCAAAGTGTCGTAAAGCTTCACAATGAAGGGAGAATCGCATAGCAGCTGAACGTTCTTCTCGCTGATGACACTGCTTTGCATTCCACTTTTCACCTGATTTCTTCAGCGGCTGCCAGAATTCACACGTGCGTAAACGCGAGCGCAAGGTTAAGGCACGGGCCACGTATCCCTTGCTCAAAGCCTTTAGTGCGTAAGTCTCTCCTGTGTTGAGATCCTCCACCTGAGCTGGAGGGGCACCATCTAACCTTCGTGCGAGAGATACAGTACCTGTAGCCTGCTACATTTTAAAACCGTGGCAAAAGCATGTACTTGGGTTTGGGTTGCCTGACACTCGAAATCTATCCCCCACGCGAACGTCTCGCTCATCACATCGGTGACCTCTCCATGCATCTAGAGATTCGATATTTGTATCTCTAGGGAACGGATTCGAGCGGCGGTGGGACGTTGCCGGGAACCGGCGGAGCAGTGCCCGTCCCGGGCGGTGCCAATGTCCAAAGTCCAAATCACACACTGCTGATGGCATCTTGCACTGAACACTACACGTGTACAGTTTTCCTTCTGAAGATTGCTGCGCAATGTGGCCATGCAAGCACATCCTCCTAGACGGGTCGCAACTCGGTTGGGAGCTCTTGGTTGTTGACTTCCACCAACTGCCCCGACACCGAGTGGCCATTTCAACTGCGCCAAAACCACCACAGCCCAGCAAGCCAAGCTTCTTCAAATCCTGCAACAGGACATGATTCTGACAGCTACGAGCAGTGCAAGGACGAGGAGGACTAAGCCTAAGCCTACTTAGTACAACTTAGTACTCGTACTCGTACTACTTAGTGCAGCTTCTCTTAGAGTCAAGCGCCTTGAACTTGATCTTCCCGAAGCTGGCGCTTTGAGCGGCCGCCGTGACGGGCACCGCTCGCTTCACGGAGCCCGTGCCGTCTTTGCCACGCCTCGTGAGCTCCTCACAGACGCGGCACCGCAGCTACCGCAGCTACGGCTACGGGTGGGACTTCGTGAGACTTCTCGTCCTCTCCTGCAAGGATCCAAGGAGGATCTCGAAGGATTCTTTGTCGACCACCAGCGTCTGATCACGGTGCGAACCGCAAACGGTAAACCCTACTCTGTGAAGACTTCTCTAGGCCGTGAGATCCCACCCAGGCGATAACTATAACCGTGTTGACTTTCATCCCTTATGCGTGCTTGCAAAAACATCCTGCAAGAACAGCAACACGCTGCATGTGCCCTGGCTTTTTCTGGAAGAGTCCCAAGTAGGCCATTTAAGTTTCAAGGACGAACGCAGCAAGCAGCAACGTCCTCGTCCCCCGTTGCAACTGTCGCTCGCTGTTTTCTTCTAGCATTGCAGCAATCCTTACTCCTGAGCAAGAAGGAGATCATCCTCAGCCTCCTGCAGGAAGTATCCGAAGGAAAGGGCATCCCACATTGTGCGCTCTTTGGCCCCCATCTTGCTGACTGACCTGGATCAAGATACGAAAGCAAGGAGGGACGAAGCCAACAACATACTAGTACGGCGTATAGAGAGACACAAACTAGCGAGGCCAGTGGCAGCATGCGGAGCTCGCCAGCTTCTGCGGCTTCTAAGAGCAGGGAAGCCATCTTGCCAATTGGGGGCGTCGCTGGCGCCGAATCGTCGTCAGGGTCGTTTATGAGACTGGAGGCCCTGTCCAGGGGGACTTGCAGCTCCTCCCTGAGACCCTTTCCGAAGAGCGACTCGGTTTGGCGGCGGATGGCCGAAAGGAGGGCGCTGCTGAGCTTCAGAACCTCGTCCATTGTGGCATCCTCGCTGGAAGGCCGCGAGACCATCTCCACGAAGTTCCGAAAGTTCTCCAGCACCAACAATTCCGAAGGCGCAGCCTCAGCCTCTCGAGCCTCTTGTGTCTCGGTCGCCTCTTTCTGCAGGCTGAGTGCAAGCTCAAATCGCCTCATGAGCCGGCGGAGGCAAAGACCAAACGTGGCGTGGCCAAAGTAGACATCCGCCTGGAAAACTCGAGTGCTGGAAGTGATCGCAGTGAAGACCTGGAGCCATTGTGCGATGTCCTCTTGAGTCCAGGATCCAGACTGCGTGCGAGGGCGAGGACTCGTCGTTTCATCGGACAGAGCCTTCTTCAAGCTCGAGCCGCTCAGGCCTGAGGCCCCCCCGATGTCTGTAAGCAATGCATCCTTCACCTTGCGAAAGCGCTCTAGGAAGTCACCGTAGGCAGAGCCCGTATCCAGGTCTTGCGTGTATGTCTGCACCAGGTCTCGCATGTAGGCCTTGCTGCCGAGTGCCCGAAAGAGCTCCCGGCGCAAGGGCTCGGAGACTTTCGTCAAGGGCACCTCGTAAGAGTGATCACCTGGAGAAGCCCCCAATTGTAGCTTACATGTCTTAAAGAGACGTGGCAAGGCCTGTAGGGCCTAGGGGCCTAGAGAGGTCTTCTTTCTTTTGGTTGGTCCTGCCACGGAGTCCCACTGTTCCAGGCCGCGTCCAAACAGTGCCCAGGTCTTGGATGGCGAGTTGCTTTGAAAGCTCTTAAGGGCCGGCAGCCCCACAGAAAGGCGACCCAGCAAGGCTTTCAAGCAGAGCAGGTCGGCCTCCAAGAGCTCTGGATCTGGATCCTGAGAGCTACGAATCCTTGTCAGCTCTGCTAGCTTTTGCGTGACTTCTTCCTGAAAGCTTTTGGGCCAGGCCCATCGAAAGCCGCTGTCCAAGTTCTGCAGAGAGATCCAGCCATCTGCCATGCGGCCCCGGATGCGGCCTTCTTGGGGAAGGGCTTGAACTTCCAGCACCTCCACCATCTCACCTTTGGCCAGCTCCTTCAAGAAGGGCGGAGGGCTCAACTCCTTGGAGGGGCCGACCATCACCTTCGCCAAGGAGATCACGACGTAATCGCCAACCGGAAAGTCCTCAGCCTCCAGGACCTCCCATCGCAGAAGTGCCTCCAGCTCTCGCCCCAGCTCAGAGCGGCAGGCAAGGAACGTCTGCGTCTGCTTTGACCGTGGCGCGTTCTCAGCGCTTTCCTGGGCCGAGCTGAGGGCGGACAGCAGATGCGCCGGCGGACGTGCCCCAGGCACGGCACGCAGTGTGGGCCCAGGCCCACTGGGCCCGGTCAGCCAGAAAACGGTTTCGGCGGCGTCTGGGCCACCAAGACCCAGGAGCCACAGCAGCCACAGGCTCAACGTAAGGCTCAGAGGCCGTTGCCCTTTGGAAGTCCGCGGCATCTCTGAAGCATGGCAAAGCCGCAAAGAGACCCTTGGAGCCGAGCTTCTAGCGCGTACACCGCACAGGCCGCACAGGCCAGTCCGTGCGGCAACAGAGGTGCCGTAGGGTTCCCGGCAGAACTCTGGCCTTGGCCACATTGGAGAGGACTTTGATGGTAGCTGCTCGTGGCTCGTCCTCGAGCAGTGCCTTCTCACCTCGACTCGATCCAATAAGTCTTCTCAATTCCGCATGCAAGGATCTGTGGACTGCCATGCGGCCGAAGTATGGCGCCTTCTCTGGGGTGGCCTGCTGTGGATCTGGTTTTCTGGCCATACCATTAACTGTCAGATCTCATGCAACTCGCACCTTGATCTTGGTGACTTCCTTGCCGTCCCTGACCACCTTAGCAAAGTCTTGTCCAGCAACATTGCTTTGCCTCCGGGCCCCTGGGCCCCAAACGCTGACCTCGCCTTCCACAAGGAGGAAGAACTGTGTTCCTCAGCAAAATGACAAGGTCAGCCTGTCACGCGTGTCACGGGCGTCGAGGTTCTTGGTCGGTCACCGCGCTCACCCTGCTCGAAGACCAGCTCATCCTGACCGGCCAAAGACGAATGCAAAGCTACGGTGACAGCGCCTTGCAAGTTCGAGTTGCCTCCTAAAGAATATCGCCGTGTGACAGGAGTCAGCGAAGCGGCACAGAAACATGTAGTTGGGCATTCGTACATGCCATACAAAGCTGGCAAATCTTTGCCCACGTGTGTATCACGAGAGCCAAGGACCCCCAACTCGATTTTTTCGAGAACACTGAACATACGCTGCTCCTTGCTGAAGGTCATCTCGTTCATCGCTGCTGCTAACTCCTTCTTCTCGGTCTCCTGTCCGGCTTTCTGAACTATGAGAAGCTCCGACTACTCTAGCCAGGAATCCTTGAGTGGAGAAAAGCAATCGCAGCGGCTGACCTGTGTCGAGGCGGGGAAGCATTTTCACACTTTTTTCAGGCCATGAAAGTCTGCGGCCTAACAAGCCGACACCTGAGAACCCCGCGTGCTTGAGGTTCTCCTGAATCTCTGTCTCGTTGGCCTCCGGCATGACAAAGGCTCTAGCGTGTTTTAGGCCAGGCAGCAATGTGCACGCCTTCATGAGGAGCTCTTTGAATTGTTGACGTGCGGTGACCCAAACGACGGCGTTTGCTGTGGCCGTCAAGGTGGCCGCCCGGGGCGCGAAGTACAACAAGGCCAACTCCCCGAAGCTGCCGCCGGCCTCCAGAAGAAACAACACCTTGCCCCCATGCTGTCTTCGCTTCGCCCACTTCCAAGCTTTCCCCTCCTCGATCGTTCCCAGGGCGCTGGCGGAAGATATCACCCTGGGTCGTCGTGACTTTCTGACAGTGATTGTGTATTCCAGATTGTATTCCTGCAATGGCGCACTTCTCGGCACTGGCAGCGCTCTCGGTCTTGGAAACTTGAAAACTGCCCGACTGGACGACGTAGAAGTAGTCGGCCTCTGAAAATGAAAAGAAGCGCAACGCAGGAGGCCACTTGACGGTTGTTTGCCGCTCCTGGAGGTCGCCTTGCTGAATGAGGGCGGTTCCTTTGGGCACCTCCTCCTTCCACATGACCTTCACCATGGCCCGAATCCTCAGCTTGGCAGGGTCAGCAGGCCCTGTCGTTTCGAACTTCTGGCACTTCAGCACTGCTGCAGGAGCTGCAAATCAAAAGGAGGCCCGCTCGGACAGGCCAGGGAATAGAGTAGCTCCGTAAACCACTCACCTCTGCGTCCTGTCCTTTCCCCTTTGCACTGCGGCGCTCGACTGTTGAAGTACCATTACTACCACTTTCATGGTAGCTGAGCCTTGCCGCCAGCAAGGTTCGAACCACGATCCGGAAGGCTCCAGAGACAGAATCAGCATATCGACACCTGCCCGTACGAAGGATGGCGGAGCGTCCCCAGCAGCATTGTTGTATATTGTTGTGCAGTATGAGGAAACCGCACTGCCATGGGAAACGAACTGTACCGCAGGTCCGAAGATAGTCTGGAAACTTACCAGTGCTGCTTCGTTGCCGGACAGCCGGCTGGATGGGTCGCTTATCGTGGTGGCGTGACGGTACTGATGTATCGTTTGAGAAAAGCTTTGCGGAAACCGAAAGTATGTGAAGTGACCGGCCTGTTTTGCTGCCTCCTTCTGCCTCGTCCCGCGCCAGCACTTTGCCGGGCTCCTCTCCTGACCTGTTGGTCCAGCCACAAAGCAAACCCTTGGCCAGGATCCAGGATCGGGTTAGCGCCGGCGGCTTTGACGTGTACATGACATACTTCAACAGCTCGAAGCGAAAAAGTGGCGAAAGGAGGAACAAGTATATCACCAGGAAGAACGAGGCTTGCATAAGGGCCGACAAGCCAAGGGCCTGTGTTCCGGTACAGCCGTTTACATTGTGTCTGCCCCAGTGCATGTGTATGGGTGTGCTCAGATATTGGAGCCTCGGGAAGTGGGGCAGGCGCAGGTCGGCTAGGGGTGCGGGTGGCGGTGGTTGTGGTGCTGCTGCTGGGTGGCCTTTTCGGGTTCATCTTCGTGTCAGCCTTGTCGTACACTTCCCTTGTCAGTGTCCTGCCCTACACCAGTAACCTTCGACCAACCAGAAGCACTGAATGTTATAATAAACCCTCAACTCCGCAGCTCCGCACTAATTAACTAATTCCCGACACCTGCCGCCAGGTGACTTGAGCTCCTCGGAGCTGGACCTGCTCTGCCAGCTGTCTAGCTGGCGCAAACTCCCATTCGCCTCCTCCTCCTCGCGCACACGCTGTTGATGTTTCCCTTCTTAGCCTTCTCCTCCATCGGTTGTGTGGTTGTGGTGTCTTGTTGATCCGCCCCTTCGCTGATGGATGAGTCCGGAGATCGCAGCGTTCGTGACAGGAGGAGCGAGGCGAACATCCTAATTACACAAAGGCGAAGTAAAGCTACCGGATGAATATCTACAGCTTCCACCTGCGGCAGACAGCATGATCGTTTCGTAGGCGCTGCAAATGGTAACAAGGCCGACGGAGGATCGACGATCGAAATCATGCAGGGTGACATGCGCAACATTAGCAAAGTGAGCTGTCCATCACAGCGGATTAAAGGAAGATGCCGATGGCCCTGGAGCATCCGAAGCCCAAGCGGCAGTGAGTGGGGAGGACACCTTGTCAGTGGAGGCATGGGTGCCAAGCAGACACTGCTGTTCAACTTGCCAAAGCATGTGTTGTCACGGATAGCAGGAATCTCTACGACGAACTGGAGGCATCCCCTCTACAAGATGGGCCACCAATGCAAGTTCTGACAAATTCTGCAGTTTTTGTCACAGCTGCAGGAACTGTAGGCCCGGCAGATGGCAGTGCGGATCAAAAGGAGGCCCACTCGGACAGGCCAGGGGATAGAGTAAGATAGAGTAGCTCTGTAGAAGCGCACGAGACATGACCACCTCTGCGTCCTGCCCATTCCTCTTTGCCCTGTGGATGCTACAGTAAGACTTTCAAGCCCCTGCACTCCATGTGCCCGTTTGCAAGGCAGGCGCTTCTCGTCATCGAGGCTGGCGATCATGTTCAGGTTCGCGTTGTTCTTCAAGGCCTCAGCCTAAGCAAGCGAAGCTCGTGGCTCGGCCCGACAGCCCGTCGCCCTTTGACCCCGAGCAGGAGGTCCTGAGCAGCAGACGATCAGCTGCTTCTCCTCGAATCGGACTCAAACCGTACGCCGTACGCTGCGGTTCTCTTGCGGCGCGTACCGCTGGCAAAATCCAAGAACATCCCGAAGGTACTCCCACTCGTTGTGCAAAGCTCCCCGCGGCTTGAGACCCGAGAACCGCATCCTAGGACGGCATTGCAATCGGGCGGCACCGTCAGTCTTGTGATCGGCCGCTTTAATTTCAGCATTCGCCATTTTGCCTCCACCAACAGCACCTTCGGAGATCCGTTCTCACACGCAAACGAGCTGACCGGCAGGAGGCCTCTCTTTCCAAACTCCAGCTTTGTGTGGAGCTCCAGCTTCACAAAGGCCTCGGTTAAAACGGTGCACACCGCAGTTGATGCCTTTCTGACAGGCGCCGAGCTTCCCGAGTAATTCTCCTGAGATTCAGAGACTGAGAGATCGCTTGTGCAGGCATGGCCCTACGAACGATGCCATGAGAATCCAAGCGGCAGTGCTTTGATCTCGCTGGCTGCCTTCAGCAACGACGTCGAGATTGAGCTATTTTCCGATTGACAGCTGTGCGTACCAAGCTCCGCACAGTGATGGTAGCGGTCCGCGGCGTGTCGCGCAACAAAGCATTCTCTCCGAAGTAATCTCCTGCCTTCGACGAAAGGATCGCAGATCGCAGGCCCTCCCTTTTTCCCCGCCTTGAGCGTGGCGATCCGATGACCGTTGACCTCCACACCTGGTGGACGCAGCACGTCAGCTCCACAGCTCTGCGCCCTGGTCCCGAATCCTGCTGTACCCCTCTTCAGGATGAAGAACTCATCTCCTGCAAAGATTTCCTAAACAATCGCTCTTCATCAACTCCCGCCCTCACCTTCGGCCTTCGGCACCCTGCTTGATGATGACGTCGTCTTTGGCAAACACAACCTCCTCTGCAGATCGGGCAAGCGCTGGCAGCTCGTCCTGCAAGGGGCAGATACAGTGTAGCAGGGTAGGGGCCCCCCCCTTCATCCCCTTCGTTGCAAGAGCGTCCCGTGGCAGCCGCTTGAAGAGCTCCACCTGTCGCAGCGCGAGGCGACTCGCCGGTTAGACACGGCTTCGAGACGGAGCTCGAATCTCCACCTTCCCGAGAAAAGCCAAACGTTCTTCGTCGGTGACTTCCCTGGAACTGCCGCAGCCCATGGCGGAAGGAGCGCGACCAACGTGACTCAGCTTCCAAGAGGCCTAAGCCTAGGTGGGTATCTGATGTATCGTCTTCCATTGAACTTGTTAATACTAATCGACAAACGTCTGCACAAGGCTTGCAAGCGAGGAGGGCAGAAGTAAGGCTCCCTGTGCTGCTCTCCGCACCGTGTCCCGCGGCCCTCTGCCGCTCTGATCCGCTCTGCCTCTGGGCTTCCGCCATCTTCTTGAGGCCTCCACGCAACGTGTCACGCGAACTACGACGCGATGCGATGCGTGCCGCCTTCGATCCACTCGTTCTCTTGGGGGATCGCGCGGAACCTGTCAAGATGCCCCCGCCCAGGGCCCCCCGCGGGCGCCTGCGCAAACCCCTGTACAGCGCCCCCGCCCCAAACCGCCACGCCTGGCCAAGCCCGGCTCCGGCCTGCACAGGCAGATGCAGAAGCGCGATGCAGACGCGCGATGCGGTGCCGATGCGGTGCCGATGCCTGTAGTTGGGCGGGCGGAGGCCCGGCAAGCCCGGCAGGGCCTCGGCCTTGCGGCTCTTGGATCGTGGCAGCTGGCGAAGGTCCTGCAGAGAGCGGAGCGGAGCGTTGCTTCTAGCTGCTGGGCGTGGCCTGTGTGGGAGGCTGTGGGAGGCCGTCTTCGTCGAGCTCCAGGAGCTCTGCTCCGACCACCTCACGAGCTCTGGTGCAAAGACTCGACCGTCCCCGTGGCCGCCCCGGCTGCCGGGGCGGAGTTCTTTTCCATTTGGTTCGGGAGCTCCTGGCCGCCCCCCAGCCTCGCGGTTCACGTTGAAACCTCGGCTGGCAGCCGATCGCCAGCTACGAGCAGGTGCCCTGGTGAAACTGAGCTGCTGAAGTTCCAATGTTCAGACTTTGGAGTTCGCGACGGGAGCTTCCTCAGTGCAAGATGCCAACAATTCCTTGCACGGGCTGCTCATGGTGTGCTCGCCTGGGCTGGGGCTTCTCCCTGTATGGCTTCTGAGCATCCTGTCAGCGAGACTGGAGAGAATCGATGCTACATGGCCCTTCACTATAGCTCGCCAATCAACCTCAGACTGATGCCAACCTAGGAATGTCAGAAGCCATAGGTCTTTATACTGACAAGACGGTGAGCCTCAACATCCCCAAATCTGGTAGTGCTACCATGCACTGCACCACCCCAACACTAACTACAAGCTTGCGCACATCAGCATGACAGACATCGACCATGCCTCGTGAAGGGACTCTTTGACGACGCTCTCAAAAGCCTTTTGGCTGCGCAGTGGCTCTTAGGCTCAAGAGCGCTTCTAGCAGCTCAGGCGATGAGGGGCCGGGGCCTCCTTGCAGCGCTGCCGCAGATCTGGGCAGCCCTTGAAGCAGCACAGAGAGAGAGAGAGAGAGAGAGAGAGAGAGAGAGAGATTTGCACCGACTCCGGATGCCTCGGCCAAGCTCTGGAAATTGAAGGGCCTGTAGGGCTTTGATTCCGGACCCCAGCGTCCGCTCGAGACCTCTCTGCTTGATGCTGAAGGCTCTGAGAAGGGGAGGCCGTCCATGTCCTGGCCAAGATGCGAAAAGAGAGAGAGAGAGAGAGAGAGAGAGAGAGAGAGAGAGAGAGAGAGACGAGAGAGATAGAGAGAGATAGAGATAGAGAGAGCGAGATAGAGAGAGGAGAGAGAAGAGAGAGAGAGAGAGAGAGAGAGAGAGAGAGAGAGAGGAGAGAGGAGAGAGAGAGAGAGAGAAGAGAGGAGAAGAGAGGGAGAGAGAGAGGAGAGAGAGAGAGAGAGAGAGGAGGGAGAGAGAGTGAGTGGATGTCGAAGAGAGAGTAGAGAGATAGGAGAGAGAGAGAGGGAGAGATAGAGATAGAAGAGGGAGATGGTTTGAGAGAGGAGAGAGAGAGAGAAGAGAGAGAGGAGAGAGAGAGAGGAGATAGGAGAAGAGAAGAGATAGAGAGAGTGAGAGAGAGAGAGAGGAGAGAGAGCGAGAGAGAGAGAGGAGAGAGAGAGAGATAAGAGAGCGAGAGAGTAGAAGAGAGAGTGGATGGAGGAGAGAGGAGAGAGGGATAGAGAGGGAACAATGTCCGGAGCGGTCTCCTCTGGCTCGGTCTCCTTTGCCGATCTCGGAGGGAGAGGGAGAGAGAGAGAGGTGGCACAGCGTCTGACGCGGTCTCCTTGTGGCTCTGCAGGCTCGGCACAGAGCTTTTCTCCGTCTCCTGGTCCAACTCCTCAAGCAGCTTCTCCAGGTCAGGCACCTCAAAGCGCCGGTTTGGGAACTCCACCTCGGTGGATCGACTCGCCAGAGCGGCACGGCGAATGCGTCAGCTTCTGGCGCGCCTCGTAGCTTCTCCCCTGCCCGGAGGCCGACCGATGTGGCCTCGCGGAGATGCGGCAAAGGCCCGTCCATAGGGCCGAGGACTCAGGCGAGGTGCAAAGCGCCATCCGACGTACCGTCTGCGAAGCCTTTCTCAAGAAGCAGCCGTGTGAAGCCTTCCGCAGGCCGCAGGAGATTGCAACTGTGGGGAAGTTCTGAAGTCAGCCGCTCGGGGAGTCGCTGCTCATGCGCTCGCGGCAACAGCCGATGCCGTGGGCATGCGCGGAGCGGCGGAGCCCTTGCCGACCTCTGGAATCCTCGCTTGCGCTTTACCTTGACGTCTTTGACCTTCGCTGTTCATGAGCTGATGAGCCTGGGCCCCATGCAACATGGCTTCGGGCCATCATGCCGGGGACGTATCGCTTGAGCAGCGGGCGAGAGCAGCGGCGAGTGCAGTGTGCAGGTCACGGGGACACCGCTGGGGCACTGGCAGGCCCAGCGTCAGCGGGCGGGCGCTCGTCCTTGGCCTTGGCGGCGCTTTTCACCGCCGTTCGCCTTGGCCTCCGAGGACATCCAAAGGCTTCTCCGCCTCCTGAAAATCTCGGTCTCGGTCTCTGCCTTGCAGACATCGCAGCCTTGGCCGTCGAGTCCAAACCCTTCAGAGACTCCCCGAATACTCCCAGAGGGTACCAGCTTAGCTGGTTGTCTGCATTGTTCAGTGGCTGTGGCCAATCGGTGAAGGGCCTTGGCCCTGGCAAAAGCTGTCACACAAGAAGGGCACCCTACGCTGCATTTTCTCATCGTATTTTGCTTGCGCCAAGGAACGCCGTTTGCCTGTGGTTTTCTTGGAGGAGCTGGACTTGCTTCGCTTTGGGGAGTCATTCTTGCTGCCACCGTTGCCTCCAACTCGCACCCCATGTTCCTGTTCTTTGACATGACGTCTCCGCCTACCCCTGGTGCTGGACGGCGATGCCATACCCTTTTTTTTTGTTGGCTCGGCTGCAAAGGGCCAAACTAGCAAGTCGTGAGCACGACTTCCATACACCGTTGTTCTCTGCATCTCTATCAGTCTGTCTGTGTCTCGCTCTTTGCATCATTTCTGCCATTCTCGTGTAGCAAAAACATTGCAGGGTACAGTGGCAGACATCTTCAAATATACAAGTTATACAGTAACATAAATGGACCAACAGCTTGATCCGGCTCTCTAGTTCATCCACAGGATCCTTACTGTCGAGACTGCGAGTTCCGCACCGTGCCGAAGTGCTTGGGAAACAATAGTGAGGCGAGCGAGCTTGCTTGGGTGCAGCCCTGGTTCGGTTCGGTTTTCCACCATCGCCTTGGGGCCCCCACCAGTGTCTGCGGACGCGGCTCCAGTCATAGTTTTAGTTTGGAGGAAATCCAGAAATATTGCGGCGATGGCATCTTGCTTGCTAACTTGCCCGACCCTGTTCGGAGTGCCCGTATAGTCTCATTGTCATCAGGTCGCCGATGAGAGTAAAAACTTGGATTGACGGCAGGGCGTGCAAAAGACTTGAGCTGACGATCGGCACAGCTTGAGTCTGCATGAGCTTGCAGTTGCATCTGGCAGCAGAATCCAGCTGAAACACATCAGCAACGCGACAGAGTCACAGCAGCATTCAGCCAATGCAGGCCGACGCGAAGCATATGCGTTTTGCGATCTCGAAGGGCTCTCAGGCAGCCGGGGCTCCCGTAAGCTGAAGCCGGATCCTTCGGATCTCAGCGGCGTTCAAGGCTGCCTGAAACTTTTTCACAAAGTAACTGAGCAACTCTTCATCTGCAGCCCGAGAAAGAGGCTTCGCCTGTTCTGCTGCCCGGCCCCGGAGCGCTTTGGCCTAGCGCAAGCGCAACATGTTGGGCGCAGGACGAAAGACACGATTTGCCCGCAAAGCGCCTTCTCGGCCTTTTTGGCTGAGCGATTCACCACCTTTGTAGCACTCTGAAAACAGCGCAACATAGCGCAACAACGATTCACGAAGCGGTTCTGACGGCTGACGGCCTCCAGCGCTCTCTCCACTTCTTCGAGTGCGGCACCGGCCCCTCCCTCCGCGGCCGCCGCCTCCGGAAAGTCATCAACGCCGTGCCGTGCCGTGCCTTTACTTTACATACATACATACACACATACATATATACATACATACATACACACATACCTACATACATACTTTCTTTACATACATACATACATACATAAATACACACTTACATAAATACACACATACATGCACACACATATACATACATACACACATGCACACATACACACATACATGCATTCATATTCATACCTACATACCTACACATGCACACATATCTTCGCATACACACGCTCGAGCCTGAACACAGGGATGAGCATCAGCATCATGGGCATCAGGTTGCCTACAAAGAAGCATCATGAAGCAACTTTGTGTCGCTCTTCCATTGCACAACAGCCCACACATCAGACCTCACATCCCGACGAACAACACCTCACTTCCCACGACCAGGGCTTCCAAGCTGTACTCCTCTCGTCAGTAGCTTTCTGAAACCACTTCAACCCATTAATTATTAGAACATTCGGAAGTGAAAAAACATCACGAAAGCAATGGGCCAACAATGGGAAGCGGTTGCAAGAAACGATTCCGAATGCCGCAAAAATGGGCTGGAGTCGAAAAATGGGGAACATGGTCCGAAAGGGGAATTGATTGTCGGAAACACTTGTAATCCGGGAACAATGCAATGGGAGCGACAACGAATCCGGGAGTGGGGCATTGAATTTAAATAGTGATGCGGATTGTCGTGGGACTTTCGCTCCCATTTTCGCGCCGGGCACGGTTCGATAGCAAAGCTTGCCGAACGGTAGGGTTTCAGGAGATTTGGTGCTATCAAGCCGGTGCATTTTCAGCAGTCTAGTTGGATCCACCTGTGCTGGTCCATCCAGACATGGCGCAACATGCTACCCATCCAACCTGCCATGCCTGATTTTTATAACTTGCAATGCAATCGACGGTATGGTCCTGTCAAAGCATTGCTTGTAATCCAAACTCATCAGCATGTTCTTGCCACGCAGGAAACAATGCAGGATGGAGGCCAATGCTGTCATGACATCTCTGCTATTGCCTGCGCCATGCTGCGATCGGTCAAAGGTTGCTTCGCTCCAAGCTTTGACCCCAGGATCGGCAGCGAGAGCCGAGTGCTCGATACAAGCGGTTGAAAGTTGTTCGAAGGGCTTCCTTCAAACAGTATTGGTGCTCTACCGAACTGCAGTGCTATCCATCGCAAATACGGACGACGAATAGCGGCGGTTCGATAGCACCAAATTTTCTGAAGGGTCGTTTCAGCTAATGGTGCTATCGAACTGCTCAGAGCGAGAAGCGAAGGGCGGCTCGATATAGCACCAAACTTAAGGGTTGAAGACGGCGAGGGGCGGTTCGACAGCATCAATCAAAGCTTCTTTGGAAATTTTGGAATTCTTTGAGCATTACAATGTTTTGTGAGTTTTAGACCACGGAACACTGCTATGCTCAAAAAATGTGAGCTTTGAGGCTGTGATAAGTGAATTTTTTTGGAGCACTACCGTATTTTGTGATGTTCAGGCCACGAAACACTGTAGTGCTCAAAAAAACTTTTTACAGCCTCCAAGCCCACGAAACACTGTAATGCTCAAAAAGAATTTGCCCTCGGCCTGGCCATAGATGCCAGGATTTTTTTGGAACTTTGGATTTTGTTGAGTATTACAGTGTTTCGTGAGTTTCAGGTTTGGAAATTTTGGAATTTTTTGAGCATTACAATGTTTTGTGAGTTTTAGACAACGGAACACTGCTATGCTCAAAAAATGTGAGCTTTTGAGGCTGTGATAAGTGGATGTTTTTGAACATTACATCATTACAGTGTTTTGTGATGTTCAGGCCACGAAACACTGTAATGCTCAAAAAAGCTTTTTACAGCCTCCAAGCCCACGAAACACTGCTCAACAAATTCAGAAATTTCAATTAATTTGCCCTCAGCCTGGCCATAGATGCCATAATTTTGGAATTTTTGGATTTTTTTGAGCATTACAGTGTTTCGTGAGTTTCAGGTTTGGAAATGGAATTCTTGAGCATTACAATGTTTTGTGAGTTTTAGACCACGGAACACTGCTATGCCCAAAAAATGTGAGCTTTCAGGCTTTGATAAATGGATTTGATTTGTTTTTATGTTAAAGAACGGGCTTCACTAAGCTTTCCTACTCACTCTCAAAGGCGGACACTTTTCCTGTCTGCGGAGTGTGTCCTGGTAGTCTCGAGCCTGCACGTCGCGAGTGCGTGACTGGCTGTTCCTATACATTAACTACACTGCACTAGCGGTGTTACTGTTCCTGGCAGAATGTTAACACCCCGCCTTCGGAGTTAGCGAAAGTTCCTCGACTGAGGTGACTCCGACTTTCCTTGACAAACAGTAAACACGCTTCAGTTCCTTTTCACTACAAAACAAACGCTGTTCCTCGTCGCAAACGTTGCCGTTCACTCGCAATCCTCTCCAAGGTTGCTAGGCTGTACAAAAGTTGTTCCTGCATTTACTTGGATCACCACAGAAACAAGGGCTGTGCCACGGTTCCTGTGTTGCTGCTCTTTCCTCGGCTCTCTGGCCTCACTTCCTTGGCGTTCTAGCCTCACTGGAAACTTGGCTTTCCTTTTCTTTGGTCTTCCTTCTCTCCTTCTTCCTCTTCTTCTTCTTCTTCTTCTTCGTCTTCCTTGTTGGCTTGCTTCTGCTGTTCCTTGAGGTACTCTTCAAGCTGCTTTGCCTGTGACTGACACTTTTCCTTTCCTTTGGGGTCCTTTGACCCTGCTTTCCATCCTGTTTCCTTTGATCCTGAATACCAGTACCATTGTGCCTTGTCTTCGTTCCACTTCCACTGGTAGTTCCTGCCTTGGAAACCGTAGACTGCAAACCAGTTTCCTTCAAACTCTCCACGTCCTTTTCCTTTCTGGTACGAGGCTTCGTTCACTGGTCCTTTGGCGGAAAGTTCCTTGCCGTACTTTCCTTCCTTCCTTCTTCTGCTGCTGCTGCGTTACCTTTGGTGGCTCCTTTCCTGCTTCTTTTCCTTTTCCTTTTCCTTCCACCTTTTCTGGCTCCTTTGTTGGTGTTGTGT